CCAGGGCATCATGAGCTCGGACAGCCTTCCGCAGCTAAGCCCTTCGGAGGCCGATGCGTTGGCTGAAGTCGCGTGAAAATCGGACGTCCGAAGCCAAATGGCCATGGTTCAAAACCGGTTCTTGGTTGGTACACAGACACACAAACAACTACCGTGGCCTTATCAGCCGTTTTGTTTCAGGCTGACCTGTCGGGTGATGAGGCACGGGGCGGTGTTTTCGTTTTTGGCGGACGAACAATGCATGATTCGTCCTCAGTCAGACCAATGGGGGTGCTTGCCTTGACGTTTTGCAGCGCGGGCTTCGAATTCGGGAAATCTGCCCTCAGGTTGCTTCAGACTTCCAACTACTTGAGATCAGCGGGGACAAGCCGGAAGTGTGGTGAGGCAAGATATTGTTGTTTTCACGGGTCGGCATTGACATCAGACGCACAGACTTGCAGAGTGTGAGTACTGGGTCGACTCTGCCACAAGTTCGCAGTCAGCAGCAATCCTCCAAGCCAAAAGTTCCGCTGGCGTTTGGCCCTCGATCTGCTTTCCCCTAGGTGGACAGCATCACTGACCACTTCTCCATTGAGCGCTGGGGACGGTACTCGACCAGTCCACGAGATCAGGATTCCATCCACCTGTTGAGTAGCGCCTTGGGGGCAGTGTGCACACTATCTGTTGCTTTTCGGGGGCAGTTTGCTGAGTAGCGTCGTAAGATGTGCCAGAGGCTTGAGTTTGACTCCCGTAGTTCCTGCGTCGTCGCATCCATCCCTTCTTTCCGGAGCACACATTTATTCTAGGATGCAACGCCAGGTGCAAGCCTCCGGTTCGAAGTGGGGTACAAGCACCATTCTTTTGTTGTGGTTTCCCTGATGGTCATCCCATGAAAAAATCGGACCGTTTGATCAACTTTCATTTGGGTCTGGGTCAAAATTAAACGACCAGGAATTGGACCGCAGGCTTTAGTCCATGTTTCCATTTACCAGGGCAAGCCATTTTGGGTACCTATTATTGACGTGGGTCAAAACCAATGGGATCCCATTGTGGGGTAGGTGAATTCACCACCCATTTAAGAGCCGATTTTAGTGGTTGGATTGAATCGGATGTTCACTGGGGGCTAACCGGGCTTTTGACCCACAACCATTTCTTCACCCCACGGATTCTCGCTGCCCATTTGGATGTGTGGCTGGCCGCAGCTCAGTGCCCAGTGCTTATGTCCACTTGCACAGCGCGCTCCGGGAAGGTGAGGTGGGTCAATCTCTTTTGTGATTGCTGTATCATGTACCTTAAACACACACACACATGGTACATAGACATATATATATATATATATAAATACACGATGTTGGCTGTGAAACATTGTTCTTGTTTTTCTGCGGTTGTTCCAGGCCGGTCCCGGAAACATGTGTGATTTTCAATTCGCAGCCGCTCTGCCGCTGGCTCTGATTTGGGAGGTTTCGTGACTAGGACCAACATGATTTTGCCAGGTTTTGTAACTAGGACACAAATTAGTTAGAAACTACGACCAAAATGAGCCGGCTGAACACATCCAGAATGGCCCAAAAGCTGGCAAGGACCAAAATGAGTGAACGCTAGAACCATTCTCTCCACACAGATCGGCAGACGTCGTATCTTTTCCCTAGCGTGGTAGGAGAACGTGAGACAGATGCTCATAGCAAGGTAATTTGTTTGTCAGTCTGGCCCGTGGCCCACGGAGCGTGCTCAATCAGAATCGTCAGAATCGTCAGGCTGTGCATCCCAGAGTGGATCCCATCACAGTCTGAATTGTAAAGCAGTGACATAGATGTGGTGTCAGCACAGGGCTGCAGGCGCATTTGCGAAGTGGAGCTCGCACACCAGATTGTCCACTCCGATTCTCTTTGCCACAAGACTGGGCTCTGAAAGCGGGGGGCCAAAGTCCTTGACCAAAACGCTTCCAGTGAGGCGCGAATCGGAGTAGAAGTTTCTCAATCTCTTGATCGCAGTGTCCGCCCTGTGATTTGGGCAGCAGCGGACCCAGCAAAAGCTCCTTTATGGACTGGCCGATGATCCCAGCAGTTCTGGAAAGGCGTTGCCTGAGTCCTGAGTCGCGTTGGGGAGCCAGTTTCGGGGTTGGCTGCTGTTCAAGGCGTTTCACATCCAGCCACCTCCCAGTGTGGGCCTTTCACGTTTGCAGCCCTGCAGGGGACCTGCGCTCTCGCTCCACAGGGGAGTCCACAAGGCATTTGCATTTTGTCCCTTCACGGTTTCTTTGGAACGGATATTTCTGGATATGAAGTTGATGCCGTGGCAGGTGTGGCTGGATGCCCATGCTTTGCACGGTTCTTGGCTTCGGTCTCCCAGCTCCGCAGCTCTCTGATTTTCCGGTCATGGCCTAACTGCTGTGGCCCAATCCTCTCGATGTGGCAACAGGTGTCCGGTTCCTGCCAGAGCTTGTCGTTTGATATCTGTTTGGCACGTTGAGGCTTTTGCAACGTTAGTTGCAGAGGGGCTGCACGGATCCCGCAGTGCTGGGAGCTGCCAAGCACGCCGGGGCCCCCAAGAATGGCAGATCCACGGCGGATCGGCCGCGTTTTGTTGCGCTTAAGCATTGGATTGTGCTCACTTTGCGAGACCTGCTTCTCAGTTCACGCGCAGGACATGGCCAGAAGCTTCGATCGATTGTTCGCCTCGAGCGTGGCAGATGAGATGTGCTCAAAACATCCTGGTTCTTGGACGGTCACTAATCACTAGGGTGAGAGACGTGGCCAAGGTCTTGCTGGGGGTTCCTCGCTTGCGGTTTGGGCCAAAAACAGCAAAATCAGACTTTAGTGAAGTTGCTGTGTTGCCTTTTCGCCGTCCTTCTGGACAATTTTTCATGTTTGGTCTACAGCGCTCACATTCCAATAGGCCTCGAAATCGCAGATTCTCTCTTGTTTTTCTTGGATTCTCGGCCCCGCAGCCCATTCCTGTGCTTTTTGCCCGGGTGGGCAAGCTGAGGTTTGGTGCATTGGTGGCGCAGGAGTGGGCAGAATCGGGGGAGCAGGTCGAGCCATAAGAAGTCGAAGGGCTAGGGATTTCAGAGACCAGGCTGTTGGGCAGGTGGTAGGTTAGGACTTCTGACTGAAGGGTCTTTTAGTACAATGTGTATCCTGGGAGCACGGGAAGCCCTTGAAGTTACATGCAAATTATTTTGGCTGGGACAGTGTGGCCGGATGCGGTTGCTTGCCTTGCCATATGTTCGCGAAGCTTACTGAAACAGCTAAAAGGTAGGCGGGTCAGACTGGGAGACGGCCGGAGGACAATCGCCACAAAGCCTTCTTGACCCTGGGCGTGCCTCAGAGGCGTTGCATCCAGCTGAGCGCTGTGCGGCAGAGGTGGAAGTGCCTCGCTTTTGTGAGGGCTTCTCGTGAAAATTGGAAAGAGCTGGTCAACGAATAAATCTGAATCACTTCATCCTGCTGCCCTCTCGCATGTGAGGCCAGACCCGAGCCTCAAGCTTCCATCGAACGCACACCCATTTTGCAAAGAGGTCTTGACCAAACATACACTGACTCATGCACGAGCTTGCATGCCTCAAGAAGCCACTAAACGCAGCTGTGCCAGAATCTCACGCCATCTCTAAACCTACGCATCCCAACACAGCCAGAATGGAACCTCTCAGCCTCCAAGACTCCAAGCCCTTCAGGAACCCTCTGAAGCGCTCCAGACAGAGAAGCTTTCGATGAGTTGAAGACATGCACCAAGTCACCAGCCAACTTGAAACTGCATGATGGTCTCATTTCGGTTATTCGTAGACGTTGATTGTAGATATTTTGCAAAAGACCCCCTGTTGGAGCAGCGCCTGCTTGCCTAGAGTGCCCTTAGGGTCAGGGTTGGTTGTGCCCGTGACAGTCCAGTTTGACTTCTTATTAAATTTCTGCTGCACCGCACTGGCGGATCCGCACAGACACTTGTACAGACCTGGTTTGCGTGCCGAGGCTTGTGTATACGCAGGATCGCCATGCGCATCTTGCCTGGCACGCCAATGTGGCATTCCAATCGCATTGCCAAGCTGCTGCTTTGTAGCGCGTAAACGCACGCTAAGAATCAAGAACTCTAACATGCCATGTTGGCTCGTGCTTCTCCTCGACCGCTGACCTGCTGTATCGCCCAGACAAAGGCTCGGTCTAGGAGCCTACTCATATCCGATTCTCGCTTGCCCAGCCATTGTCAACTGGTGCCGGGGCATCTTGCAGTTATTACTTATTACGGTTGTTCAATAACAGGTTTGACATCCCAACCCGGGGGGTGATTGTAGCCCAGCTATTTTCTCTTGGATGCGTTCAAAAGTGGCACAGCTTTGGTTGGCAGCCACTCCCATGGCGGTGTCGATGCGCTCCAGCGACTCCCCGCAAAGCTTGAGGCTCCCCGCGCGAGTCCGGCCGTGCCCCGCGGGGCCTCATGGGCCCATGGGCCCATGGAAGCAGAATCTGCCAAGGGTGCAGTTTCCGGGCACCGCCATGGATGAAATTCGTCAGTTTCAATTTGCAGCTCTACAGGAGATGGGAAGCCAAGAATGCCCATGTTGCGTTTGGAGGCAATCCGATGGCAGGAACGTGATCTCATTTCGGCCACGCAGACAGTTGTGTAAAGGTGGCGTCAGTGGACAAGAGTGCAAAAGGAAGAAAGGCCCACTGCAGCGCATTTCATTTGCTGCTCTTTGGAGAGGTTGACTTGCACAACTGGTTTCTTCACACTTCGTGACCCGCGCGCTGGTTCAAGTTTCTTGGAGTGTTGGTCGTTCGGGGTAGAGGCCTGGTATGGGTTGAGAGTTGACACAGTTGACTCGGGAAGAATCAACCTGGTGGGTCAAAGTGAAACCAGGAATTGGAGCAGATATTAGAGCGTGCAACCCATTTTTGCTGGGGTTACCCGATGTTTGGCTTTGTGCTGGCTTTTTTGTTCTCACCGCGTAAGTCGACTGAGCGGTAATGAGGACCATTGGGGTTACCCGATGTTTGACCGCCACACACATTCGAGCCAGCTCAGGCGTCATGTCTACGTTCCAGGTGCAGCTGGGAGGCCACTGGCGCGACTATGGGCGCCTCGGTGGTGGGACTCGGGGTTTAGTTTTTCGGTGATACTTGATACTTGTGGGAATCTCCCCCTGATGGGGTTAGTCTTTCAGAAGCCCTTGCTGTTGTATCACAGAAGTGGTCATTTCCCACAAGGACAGAATCTCTTGCGAACGTGTAGCGCTGTTCCGTACTTTTTGTGATGGACTCACATTCGCAGGGGTTCGCCCGAACAGTTGGTTTTCTGTGCCGAGGAAGAAAGAGGACAAGCAACTCAAGACAGCATACATGTCTGGGCAGCAGACGGCGCGCTTCAAGATGCCGCTTGCTTGCACAAGCGACATTTGAACATCAAATGGCTGCGGTTGTCAAAACCAATGGTATCCCATTTTGGTTGGTAGGTGCATTCACCACCCATTTTAGGCTTCCTATTTGAGTGGTTGGATTGGTTGTTCACTGGGGGCTGACCGATTTGGATTTTGAGCCATGGCCATGTCTGTTTCAAGGCCTCCAGGAGTCATGGGAGTCGAGTATTAGAGGATCCCACTGTTTGACACGCTGCCCATTGATCCACCAGCCGATTGAGGCACATCAACGGCAAGAAGGCTGGGGAACGGAGGCCTCATGCGGTGGTCTTGTATCACACTTGTATGCTTCACCTATGGAGTAGGCTAAGTCAAGGGAAGCCCAGTTGTTTTGTTTTCCCCGATTTAGATACGATTTGGGTCTGAGTTAGCATTTTTGCTTTTGTTGCACCCCGAGGGTTTTACACCTTGTTGCTTCTGTTATACCATCTTCCGGTGTTCTCGCAAGAGGTAGTTGGTGAGTCCCTGGAAGCCGTAAAAGACATGGTAAATTCTAAATAGAAAAAAACCACAACGTAAACATTACGCTAAATAAGACAAAAAACAAAAAAACACATACGTTTTGCTTTGAATTATACGCTATATACACGTTTTGTTTAGGTTGTTCTTTTTTTTTGGTAGCGATTTTCAGCACCCCCTGCCCTCAGGTGGGAGAAGTTTGTGTTTTTCAGAGGAGGGGGGCTTAACGTGTAAACAAAAGAAAGAGAACAGACACACATAAATGTTGCGGAAATCGTGCCGAATCGAAAGACGCATACTGACACCACAAAAGACAATAATCAGTCTGACAGAGTCGGTCACAAGGTTAAATCATTGAAAACCAGCGGTTCAAAGATCAACCGAGCCAAAGGTTTGTACATGTCACGTTGGCTTTCTTCTCCAGGGTTTGATGCAAACAGGGTGCAACACGCTACGTGTTGAGAGTGCGCACTGCAAAACGTATTGCTAACCAACGCCACACCGACCCTTCCGTGTCTCGCCTACCGCAGCCCTCGCGTGGCGCAGGAGAAATACGAGGCCAGGGTGGACAGGGGGGCTTGCGCGCCTTTGTGCCATTGTGCGCTTTTTGACAAGTGCCGCGCCGCACGTTGCAGGTAAACTTCAAGAAGATGTCGCAGGACCGGCATGGGCAGTAGGATTCAACGCGGAAGCTCCCGGACCAAAATTTGTTCTCGTGTTTTGACGGACATTCTAAACCGTCAGCTATAGGAACAGCTTACATATGGTGTGTCTCATGTTGAAGCAATTTCAGCAGGCAAGAGTCATGGAGGCAAAGTGGAGCGCGGATTCATCACTTCGAACATTTTGTACAACATGACTTTTGGGTGTCTCAAAATATGTGGACCCCAAAATTATTGGCTTCCTTTTGGTTTCCCTTTGAAAACACCCCAACAGGGGCACCCCCCAAAAATGACACACAGTTTAACATCAGATGACGCCCCAAGGTTCAAAGACACATTTGTCTAGTGGTCTGTGCCTGTGGAAGGAGAACCTGGTGAGTGGAGGCACCCGAGAAATTCGGCCACCATACCGCTGCTGAGCTGAAAGCAAAGAAGTCACCAGCTCTTGGGGAAGTGTTCAAAGCTTTGTGCCATTTGGTCACTTCGGACCGAAGCTCGGCCAGTGAGCCCGAGGAATGCAGGCTCCAAGCCACGTGACTGCAAGTCATTGGGAGTTTCGGGAGAGATGCGGCCCGGGTCAGATTTGCTGGGTGTGACTCCGTTGCTTTGGGACTTTCTGGGCTGCGGCTTTTCTCTGGAGGGTCGGTCAGGCAATCGGAATGCCGGGATGTTGGATTGGGAGTTGTTTTCTTTTGGCCAGGGATGTTCGGGTCGGCGCGCTTACATTCCACACGGGGTCCTCCCCCACTGAACAATTGCGCTATGAGGCGGGCCTGTCCGTGATGCCAACGACAAGCCAATGGAGCCTGGGCCCACCATTTGCATCAAGGCGAGACATCGGATGTGTCCCACAAAACACACTTTTGACTTTGCTGAGCAGGTGCCAGAGGGCGCGGCCGGCAGCGTCATTCAGGTCCCCCATCCAAAGGCCAAGGGACGCTTGACAGCAGTCGGGGGTCACGGCAGGTTGCTGAATACTGAATCACTTTTTGCCACCTCAGCAGTCCTGGGCATAGATGCTCCTTCCAGAAGAGTCTGAGCTTGCAAACTCATTCGGCACTCAGTTTTGGAGTGCATGCGTGCAAAAGCAGAGCTTTTGACAGTGCGCAAGAGTCAAATCTGGGAGACGCAGAGATCAGTTTGCTGTGGAACCCTAGCTTGGACCCAAAGGCTCTTGGGTTGCCATGACAGCATCCCAGCTGCAAGCAACGAGCCATGTTTTTCCGGGCGCAGCGAGCCCTCAGGAAAGTTCTTCGAGGTGAAAGTGCCGGCGGGGGCCAAGGCTGGCCAAGCCATGCTGGTGCCGGTGCCGTCCTGGGAAGGCGAGGGGGGCGAAGTCGATGAAGTTGCAGTCGCTGGGGCGTCAGCTTCAGGTCCCTTGGTTTGTTTGTTTGTTTGCTTGCTGTTTTTTTTTTTTTTTTAAATCTATCATTTATGTATTTATTTGGTTAGTTAATTGGCATTTTCACAGTCTCCATGCCCTGCCCAGGGCGACTGGATCCAGTTCGGGACCGCGTGCTGTGATGGGGGTGGGCGGATGTGCCATTTTGGGGTAGGTGCACCACTCATTTTAGAGCCTGTTTTAGTGGGATTGGGATGTTCATTGGGGGTACGATTTGGATTTTGACCCATGGCTAAATGACTTGGTCAATGCCCATGTCGCATTCCCACCCGCGCTGGTTCTGATGAGAGTCTCATGAAAGGGACCTGCCCAGAAGCCATCGGTCCCATGCAGAGCCTCTCCGAACAAGAAGGCCATGTCGAAGCGGCGGCCTCCTTTACCTGTTTTTTCTGTGCCGAGTCAGCGGCAGGAGCAGTTCAGGAAGTGGGACAAAGACGACAAAGGCGCGGGATTTCCGATTTCGACGTGGTTCCGATTCTCCATCAGAGGGCTGTGGCTCAAAAACAAATTTGTAACTTGTACCAAAATGGCAGCTTGGTAAATGGAGGCAAGGACTAAAACCTGGTAACCTGGGTAACAATAGCTTTTTGCATGTTGAGCCACCCTCCATGAGCCACACCCAGATCTGAGTTATGACTTGACATGTTATGTTCATTCGGCTCCGACCTCGGACATCCGCGTGAGGCTTCATCAGCTTCGGAGAGCTGGCGGAGCTTATCGAGCCTTGGCGTGCGAGCGATGGAGTTCTCGAGCTTTTCAGCGTCGCCCTTTTGCAAGTCGCAAAATCTGACTCGGGCTGTTTGGAAAGTTGACCCTGACATGTGTCCGATGTGAAATGAGGGTTTGCTCCGGCGACATGGTTCTTTCTGGGGGGCATTCTGCCCTGAGTCTGGGGTGACATTGGACACTTTCTGCCCCAGACTCAAGTCGCAAAATCTGCCTTATGCTGGCGCTTGGAACCTTTAAGTTGACTGCCTTTTCGAGGTTGTAAGGCCCTGTGCTCAGGCTCAACTGAACCCCGACCTGGGCCGATCAGAGCCTTGGCATGCAAATGGCAGCGCGTGGACTGCGGACAAGGGATGAAGGCAGGCCGGTTGTTTTTGCAGCACAGCCGAGAGTGCTGAACATTTTGGCAGACCCAGATCAGTATCAGGTCTCATGCATGGAACTCACAGGCCTGCTTCCGCGTGTCTGCATCTTCTGTCTCCAACCTCAACTTGGAATCTTTAGCAGGTCAGCCTTCCGGCTCTTTGCAGTACATGACGAATTGAGTGCCAGCAAGCATCATGGTAAAGGAACTAGGCTGGCACCAAGGGCCGATTTATCCTTAAGGAAATCAACGACCTCATCTTGCAAGTGGACAAAAATCAAGACTACAAGGCGGGTGCGTGCCACTTGAGAGGTTAAAGCAGACGTGGCGTGGAGATGCGGCCATGGTTCAAAACCAATGGGATCCCATTTTGGGGTAGGTGCACCACTCATTTTAGTCTATGTTGGTCGGGATTGGCGATGTTCACTGGGGGTACAGGATTTTGACCCATGGCCATGTGTTGGGACGTTGCAGAAGGTGTTCTATCCGCTTGCAGCCGTTTTGGCTTCAGATATTCAGCATTCACCCGCCTCGCTTGCAAAGTTCCCGAACATGGAGGCCCTTGCAGCGGTCCCGGCCCCCGTGAGCGCGGTCAGCGCGGAGATGAAGCGGCTGGAAAAGGACTGGACCCAGTTTGTTGCTGCTAGCATCCCTTTTTTACATGGCTGTGGTTCAACACCAATGGTACCATTTTGGCAGGTGCACCACCCATTTTGGTCTATTTAGTGGTTGGATTGGGATGTTCACTGGGGGCACGATTTGGCTTTTGACCCATGGCCACATAGGTGCAAGGGAAGCCCCAGCTAACACCCCCTTTGTAGGTGCAACCCCCAGGTTCTGATTTCGACAGGAGGACCCGCTGCTGAAGAGCAACCCCAGGCGCTGGGTGCTGCTGCCGATCCAGTACAGCGCGGTCTTTGAGATGTACAAGAAGCACGAGGCCTCCTTCTGGACCGCAGAAGAAATCGATCTGGCCAGCGACACCAAGGACTGGGAGGCCCTCACTGAGAAGGACGGGGTGAATCGGTGCAGCTTTTCGGAGATGGAAGATCTAAGTGCAGCAATACAGCAGCAAGATAAAAATCAGATGACAAAATTAAACAGCTTTAGATAGGATGAAGTCAGAGGAACACCTAACCTGGTTAGACAATTTCTGAAATCAGATGGACACCTAACCTGGATCGAAAAACGAGACCTGGAACACCGAAGGAGCGCCACTTCGTGTCCCACGTGCTCGCCTTCTTCGCCGCGAGCGACGGCATCGTGCTGGAGAATCTCAGCACGAACTTCGCCTCCGAGGTGCAGATTCCGGAGGCGGGGCAATGTGGATCCGCATGGGCAAGAAGCGAATTGCGTGGGGCTTCCCCCCCCATTTTTTTCTTCTTTCTTCTCCCCATTTTATTATCAAAATGTCACTATGATCCTCATTATTATTATTCTTATTATTATTATTATTATTAGCATTGTTAGCATTTTCCGTTTTTTTTTTGGCCTTTTTTAACTGAGCGAACATGTTTTCAAGGCCCCACTCTGGCACCAAGGCCCGGGCCTTCTACGGGTTCCAGATGGCCATGGAGAACATCCACTCGGAGACCTACTCGCTTCTCATCGAGCAGTACATCAAGGATCCGCCGTGTCCGCTGTTTAGCAGGGATGACCAGATGTCCCCCCCCCCCAGATGTCCCCCCGCCCAAGAAAAACAAAGAAAGAAAGAATGAGGGTTCAAGTCCATGTTGGCAAACCCGAGGCTGTTTCAGTGTCAGTTTCAAACCTTAGCATTGTTCCGTTCATCAAGATTCGCTTCACTTATCATTGGTTCAGTTTTTTTTTAAGCTTTCGGCTCTCTGAGCCCAAAAAGGCGAGAGCCGGTTCTGAGCGCCCGCAGGATCCGGTGGAGAAGGACAAGGTCTTCAATGCCATCGCCACCATGCCGGCGGTGCAGGAGAAGGCCAAGTGGGCGGTGCAGTGGATGAGCACGGAGTGCAGCTTCGCCGAGCGCATCGTGGCCTTCGCCGCCGTGGAGGGGGTTCTCTTCAGCGGCTCCTTCTGCGCCATCTACTGGCTGAAGAAGCGGGGCCTGATGCCCGGGCTGTGCTTCTCCAACGAGCTCATCTCCCGCGACGAGGGGCTGCACGCGGACTTCGCCTGCCTCTTGTACAACATGCTGCAGAACAAGCTGCCGGAGGAGGTGGTGCACGACATCATCCGGGGGGCCGTGGACACGGAGCGGAAGTTCATCTGCGAGGCGTTGCCTTGCGACTTGATCGGCATGAACGCCGATCTCATGGCCACCTACATCGAGTTCGTGGCCGATCGGCTGCTGTGCGCGCTGGGGCACTCCAAGCTCTTCAACGCGAGCAACCCCTTCGACTGGATGGAGCTCATCTCTTTGCAGGGGAAGACCAACTTCTTCGAGAAGAGGGTAGGGGAATATCAGAAAGCAGGTGTCATGGGTGGGGGGGAGCAGGAGCAGCGTTTCTCCCTGGATGCTGACTTCTAATGCCCATGTCGGCACGCGAATTTGGCGCACGACTGGGGCAGTCGGCCATGTTTGCACGGGGATTGGGGTTCATTGACGGCAATGACACCGAGCATGAATTTTCGTCCGCCAACTCAGCGGCTTGTACTTCAAGTCTCGCTTGGTGGCACAGGTGGTGTGCCATGTGTGCCACCGGTATAGCTGTGCGGCATAGTGCGCTGATGGTTTCAGCTCCAGGATGCACTCACTGCAAAATTGCAGTGACGGATTTGCCGCCGAAATGGACGACAAAGAGCAGCTCTCGTCTTTGTCATGTTGCGGTGGGCTCCACCTTGGATGCTCAACCATGGATGCTCGACCGGAGGCCAAGTCTTAAGTGGGTATGGGTCACAATGACACCACCAGGGGATCGCAGGTTTTAGTCCTTGTTTCCGTCTACCAGGGACCCACAGCCAAGTGTAACCCTATTGTATGCTTCTGGTGTAATTATCTTGGCCAGATCTCCTACGAGGAGTTCGCAACTTTTCTTGAAGGAGGCCGGCCGTCTCATTTTCTCCTATGCCTCGAGCCCATGCCATCCGCTTTCCCAAGAGGGGTTCCCCTTTCCGTGGGCGTCCTTTTGGGGTGCAAAGATAAATCCCGGGGAAGGCAGCTCTGCGCAAGGCTTTGTAGCGATGCACACTCTGCGAACTGCTCAGATGTGGACCCGCGTACACGTGTTGTGGAAACCTGCCAGTGAGACCTTGAGCGCAAACCTGGGAGTCGATATGTGCTTACTGCGAGTGGTTGATGCCATGGTTCATTCGTCAGTCCGGCAAAACCCTGCCCTGCCATTACTGCCATGCCAGCTTAGATTCTGACGTGGCCGGGACGACGCATGCGGTCTACAGTGTACTGTTTCCCAACCGTGTGCATACACTGCGCAAGGGGCATCAATTCAGTCATGCATTGTATTGTCGTGTGCAATTTGCAATACGTGCACTAGTCAAGGGCATCTACTCTTTGGTCGCGAAACATGTGCTAAGTACTTGGCAAGACGCAGATTTGTCGGCTTGCGAGGGGTCCTATTGAGAATGCACTTGCCCGTGCCCTCCAGGCAAGAAGCCCACTGGAGGCCGGAGGGGTGCGGCAGGGAGTTTGCGACAGCCGGGCGTTCAAGGTTCAAGAACGATGTGCCATAGATTTTCAATCAACAACCCCCCCGGCTGGTTGGGCTGCTAGGCTCATAAGCTGTTGAGCTGCAGGGTGTTGGGCTGTTGGTTGTTTTGTTGGGCTGTTGCTTTTGCTGGGCACTGGGCTGTTGGGCTGTTGACTTTGCAGATTGGATCTAGGTTCACGGTTGAGGGATCCCCTGCCAGGCGGGGACCCCGCTCCAGACCCCAGCCCTGCACCTGCGGACCCAGCCGACCCGGGAGCCGGTGGTGACGCTCCAGAAGCCAAGAAGCCGATGCCTCTGGGGGAAAAAACGGCCGCAACAGCTGGACCTTAGATCTTGCTGGGATTTCTATTGCTTCTGTTGGCGCGGGTCCAAGAAATAACCCCTGATTTTTGCCACCTGCATCGCTTATGCACTTTTGACTGTCTTGCATGAGCAGGGCATCTAACAAATTTCCTGTCTCGTAGCATCGGCCAGTGGCTAACGTTTCAGTTGTGACATGGCTCTTGTAGTGGTATGCCGGTATACCAGTTTCACTGCAAGTTTTGGGTCACTGTCCATTGCTTCCCATTGCTTCCCATTTCCAACTCCAGTAGCAATGTCAGGCCGGCCGGGCATTGCGTTCACCTCGGATGGGCGCCTTGGCTCAAGCGCGCTGAAAGTCTGCGGAACTCCTTGGCCCGTTGATCCGCCATGCTGGCTGTGTCGGCTCTTTTCCTGAGCGTGTGGCTTGGCGCTGCAAGCTCAAACTGCAGCTCTGACGCAACGTCCGTCCTGCAACTTCGCAGCAATGACACCTCAGAAGGCGTCAGTGTGGAAGCAGAACTCGCCGTGGGTGACGTGTTCGCCATCTACGGCGGGGGCAAGTTCTGCACCGACCGAGGCGGGAACCGTCGTCGTCGAGGGAACTTTGACTACATGGAGTGCGACACCGACTGGGTGGAGTCTTGGCAGACCTTCAGGGGAATGGACCAGCGCGAATCCCCCACAGGATGGCCTTCAAGGGAGGCCGCGCGAAGAAGTACTGCTCGGACTCGTCTGTGTCCAGGCGGAGGCAGAGCGAACCTGCGCGCGTCATGTGCAATCGTGACGCTCTGGGCAGCTGGGAGAAGTTTGGCCGCCATGTTGGTGACCTGGTCGGCTATGGGAACAGGGGCGGCAGTGGCGGCAAGGTGTGCGGCCCTGACTGAAATCAAGTTGTGAAGTGCTACGTCAACTACTTTGACCTTGTGAGCGCCAGAGCCTCTCCGAAGCTCCTTGCCCGGAACGGGAACGACTTCCTGCAGCCTGGCGCCGTGGTCAGTTTGAGGGCTCCGGACAACACCTGGTGCCAGGTTGGGCTTTTTTGCTTTGCAGGGCTTCTATATGGTTCTATGATTTGTTCTATGATGTTCTGGTTCAAGGCAGAGCTGTGCAACCCTCAGCAGAAAACACATCTGAGGGAAGTAGCCCATGTGGGACTCAAGTGCCAGGTCAACGACGACAAGGAAATCACGTGCAACTACCAGTCCCCGGCATCCATCAGGGCACAGTACGCGGTTGAGGCCACGGGCGGTCCGGCGGAGTTCTACTTGAAGTCCAAGCAGACTGACAGGTATTGTCGAGTTTCGAGCGACCGCATCAGATGCGACTTCTCCTCCACCACAGGCGCGCTGAAGTTCGACGAGACGACCGTGAGCTCGAGTTGGGCTCCCATCTCCGTGAAGCTCAAGGCGACCCACACGACAGGTGGGGCCCCCGAGTTCAGGCCGATCTCCGTCCAGAACCAGAAGATGGGTTGGGGGCGACGCCGCAGCGGTGTCTCCAACGACGCCGCCGTGCTCCAAGTTGCGATCCATGACTACACCAACCAGCTCACCTTTGGGGTGTGAGACTTCGGTCGGTGATTCGGCACCATTCGGAGTCCACGGCTGCCGACTTGCCGATTTTGATCGATTTTGAGCCAAGGGAATCGTTTTAAGCTTTTTTACACCGCTTTCCCTTGGGCGATCACATATTGTGGACATTATTATATTCTGGCATGACCTGTCGCAGTACTAGTTCGCTTTCATTTGGCGAAAAAGGCCCGTGACCTCCCATAAGAAACATCCAGTGCCACTCAAGTTGCACAGAGAATGCGACAGAATGCGAGTGGGAATCGTCCTGGATTTCACGCGGCCTCAACATCGTTCGGAGCTTGACATGTGCCTCACAAGCCCAATTCCTGAAGAACAACTTAGGCTTTCTTCGACGTTTCCTTCACTTGTTTTTTCTCCAGGATTCCAGATGTGCTAGTTATCATCATGGGTCGCTTTTTGGAGTGACGTAAAGGTGACATGGGACCATTGCCCGCATGGAGCCAAAGCCGAGACTGGGAAAGCAAGCCGCACTCAGGGGCTGGAGCACTGGCAAGAAGGTGGCCGTCGGTGCTGCCGCCGTGGGAGGCACTGTGCATGCGGGATGAAGCCCTGCCGGTGCAGGTTGACTTTTTTCCATCCACAGTCGGACTAAGATTTAGGGCTCCACTCTTCTCAGAGGCTTCCCCGAAAAAGCAACATTGCAACTGGCTTGCATGGATGTTCTGGCCATGTTGAGCACGTGTTCCTTCAATTCACACCTGATTTCAATTGGATTCTTGATTCAATAATTATCCGTGTATTTCAATCCTGCACCAGTTGGGCTGGATGACTTATGTCACCAAGGATCTTTGCAATGCTTGACTGCTTGCCCATGACTCGTTTCTTTCACCCTTAGAGTGAGTAGTCGTGGTTCAAAAAATGTCCATTGCTCATGTGGCAGAAAAACCCTGGGACCCGGACGCGCTCCAGCTTCCCCAACCAAGACCCAGTTCGTCGGGCGGCCCCGAATGCCGGGCGCGGACCTGCGCGCGCCCCGGGCGCGCCCCGAATGCCACCCGGCGAGGGGTGGCCCTGATCGGCGCCGCCTGCGTGGCCGGGGCCTTGCTGGCGGAGGGCGACGGCCTGGAAGACCTGGGAGCGCGGGCCTCGGCGAAGCGCCGGACGTTTGGGGGGCTGGGTGACGAGGCTACGCAAGGCGGGGCCCCGCTTTTCTTCTTTTGCTGGGCTCAGAGAAACGTGTTTTTGTTTTTTTTACCCGCGTGTGAGAGGGTTGCCTGTTCGGGGTCACAACTGGAACGAAGATGGATGAGTCGGTTGCCTTTGCACACACTTCCAGACTAGTGAGCCTGACCTGTGGCAACACCGCGTTAACGTCCCATGGCTCTCCTTCCGGGCCTTCCAAAAGCAACGGCTCCCACCTCGCCAGTCCCAAGTTGGATCACCTGTGACCAGGTTTCGGCATCGCATTTCATGCGGCAGGGCATCCTGTCCTCTTGTGGTTTTGTCTTGGCGATTGGCGCGGACCAGCCCTCCTTTTGGAATTGTTGGTTCCGAGGCCTGGGAGAATTATACTTCGCCGGATAATACATGTTTGAGGCTCCCGTGAAGGGCTTCTCCCTGAAAATTTCGGGAGCAGCAGCTAGAAGGTGTCACCCTCATCTTGAACATTTGGGAGTTATTGAAAGGCTCCTTTACATGGGGTGACCAGATAGGGAAACCGCCAAGAGCATGACTTTCACCACAGGGAAAAGTTACCCATGGTCATTTTGGGGGCTTGATCTCCAAGGACACGATAGGAGACATCGCCGGCGATGCTGGAGCCCGTTGCCCCAGATCGCCATGTGGCCGGTGGGAAGCAGAAGGGTCGAAGTCCAAGTAACTTAGTAGCTGTTGGGGCTGTTGGGGGATAGCTTTGGCATTGGGGTGCATTTTGGGTGCCACTTTTGCATTTGCGCTGCATGTTGGGCCCAAACCGGATTACTTGATTGAAGGTGAGTCCTGGACATGTGGAGCATGCAAGCGAAAACCAGACGAACATGTTCCCTGCCATCCTCAGGACGCGATCGGCGACGCAGCAGGGGATGTCGGCGAGCCCCGGCGGAGGTTTAGTCTAGTTTTCGATGTGCGGTCTTACGATGCAGGAGGTTGTGACCAGGATCATGGCAAGTGATGGCTGAGATGGTGGGTGGGGCTGCGTGTTCCCCAAGCCTTCTTGGATTCTGGAGTGTGGATCCGCAGCCTTCTCGCGGGTACTTTTTTCCGGACGAGCGTTGGCCAGCAAACTTGATCGCCTGGCTGTTCCAGTCCCTCAACCATGTCACTGCCTAGTTCACCGAGCCAAGGAGTGGATTGCAGGAGCTACAGAGGACAGATGGAAATGGGACACCTACATTTGAATTTGACACGTCTTGCGAGATGGGGAGGTTGTGCCAGTTGCTTATTTGATCCCCCTTCTCTGCTTGAGTCTTCTCCTTGTCCCTCTCGGCTTCAAGCTTGCTTGAGTCTTCTCCTTGTCGGCTTCCAAGCTTTGAGGATGCCGGGGATTTCATCATGGACCTTTTCTGAGCGCTCCTTTCCGCAGCGCCGGCTCTGCACGACCTGTGCTTCTGGATGTTTTTTCCGCAAGGGCCAGGTTCGCTGAATCATGTCAAAAGTGTATGCGAAGACTGGTCCAGAAGCGCTGCAACGAAAACGATCACCATGGGCAGGTGCCTCTCAAAGTGGTGCCTTGCCCCTTGCCGATGATATTTTGGCTGCCAACCCCCCTTGACCACAAGATCGCGGCCCTGCTTCATTCTTCCTTTACTTATATTCTTCCTTTGCAAGCCCATGCGGTATTCAGATTGCATCCAGCCTCTCAGTAACGCGTGCATGCATGCCGAAGGCATTGCCAAAGAGACTGCATCGGGAGGAAAAGCACTCATGGGAGTAAGAGGGCGGAAGGAGGGGCTCAAGGAAAGTCAGAGATCCGTGAGCATTATGTGCTACCATTGTGCTAGCTGCTGCGTGTGTGCAGGCTTTCTAAGTATGTAACAACAGAGCCAGCCACTCACACCCACAGTGGCCAGTACAGGAAGCTCCTGTCTCTATGTGCAATATTTTACGACCTCAGCAATTTGGCTTTTCATTCCGTGGTTGCATGCAGCTGAAGAGTCTGCGCTTTGCACTCGATAGCCCCCCTGTTTCATAGGAAGCGGGGGAGCATGCCCTCAGATGCCTCTCGCGTCTTTTTGGCTCTCGAAGGGCCCTGAGCCATGAAACCGAGCACTGGTTCTGTCTTAGGAGAACTCTGAAATCCGAGCATCATCAGCGACACAATGAGTCTGCTTAGTTTCTGGGCCCAGACATCAGCGGTGCCATTCATGTTTTACGCGTGCACATGCTTGTTTTGGACAACTCTTCGCTTTAGGCACACACACACAGGACCTCAGGACCTCTTTGCCTCATGACTCCTGACCTCATGACAACACGAGCTGTCTGCAACGATATGAGCCACAGCAAGCATATTTGCCGGGTGACACTGTAACTCATGACCGAGGCGCGCCCTAATCCTGGGCACAAGTACGCGCCAAGCATCTATGTCAGTTGGAACCAACGCAACACTTCTCCATGTGGCCAACATGGCACGAGACGCCAGCGAGGGCCCAGGCCCAGCCGAAGCCGCGAGAGGGGCCCAGTAGTTGCCCATGGCCGCCTGAGTGCGCCGTCATGGACTCGCAGTCGCCTGCGGCGGAGCTGCAGAGAGCGACCGTGCGATTCTGCGAGGCTCCCTGCGACCCAGCGCTTGCTGTACATGAGACGCATGTGGCACCTGGATGTGTCTTTGAGGGTACCTCTTTCACCTCCGTTTCAAGAGAAGCCGAGCGGAACGCCACGAGACTTTGGGGGTCGATGCGAGTTTTTTTTTTGCAGCTTGTCATGTCAGCCAGCGAGCCAAGCAAACCGCAAGTCCTCGACTCATCGACTCATCGCTTTGGTGTTGCCCATGGCAACTCCGCAGGAGGAGACCTCCGACTCCGAGGATGAAGAGGCCCGAGGATTACGAGGTTCTGCACCTGCGCGGAACACTCCACGAGCGAACAGCGGCCCTTTTTTTTCGTGAATGCAAAGACATTGGCACAGGCTTGTCACATCGAGTACTTAAAAGCTGAAAACCAGCCCCAGCTTTTTGTCAGAGGAAAGCGACAGTATCGAGATTTGGCTCGAAGGGAGAGCCTCTCTTTCTCGGTGTCTCGGTGTGCAGGCAGCCCTTCCGCCGGCCTCGTCCAGCCTATTCACCAGGGCCAACTGCCAGACGCGCCGCCTGGCCATTTTAGGGTTCCTTTTTTGTAGCCGCCGTTCTTTGGGCCCCTCACTGTATTTAACTGGGCCCGCAGGGTCACCCCCATTTCATGTTTGCAGTCAGCAGAAGCGGCATCAGCACATAGTAGTTCACCAGCATGGAGTCAAGAATTGGCTGTCGTGTTTGTAGTGGTTCACGAGATAAGACATACTGTACATGCCTGCGCGATGGAGCATGAGTGAGCCTGACGCTGCTTTTGCGCTTTTGCACCTTGCTTTCTGTTTGGATATCGTCATATCTGAGGTTACATGTCGCAGTCTCTTGGCTGCATGATGAGGAGCTGGCAACAGGGGAAGACGAGGAACGCGACAAAGTTCATTCACAAGGGATAGAGCCGCACGTATTCTGTGCTGGATGTGACCAACTCCCTCAACCGAAGCTTGACTTCCTCAGCTTGCGTCTAAAGCCTCCATTTTCTGTGCCTTACTACGACTTGGTGCGCCACATATTTTCAGCAAGGACTCTGACGCATGTGAAAGAGCTTTGAGGTTACGCACATCTTGCGCGTGGAATTGTGGGGAGGGAGAGGCGAGGCCACACTTCGAGGTCAGATTCGAAGACCGCCGCCGCGCTGCTGTTGCTGCGGCAGCGGCAGATCGCCTTGGGAGACCTGATCAGCGGCACCTGGGCTGGTGTCAAGGGTTGCCTCGGACGTCAATGCAAAGCAAAGCCCAGTGCTCGGGCGGTGGAACTGTTGCTCAGGGCGTTGGAAAGCATTTTGGGTGGGAATGAGATGAGTGTATCAAGGGCCAACCCATGTAAAATTGACCCAGATAAGTTCTCAGATAAGTTGTCGCTCGCTGTTTCCTGAACCGGGGTTTCTTCAGAACGAAGTACATCCCGATCACGAGGAGACCTCGAGACACGGAGGAAGCGGGTTCTCCAACGTGATGCACGTTTGCTCAACGAACGCACGCCATGTTTTCGGCGCCAAATGGCTGTGGGTCAAAATCGATGGCACCATTATGGGGTAGGTAGACCACCCATTTTAGGACCTACTTTAGTGGGGATTGGGGATGTTCACTGGGGGCTAACCGATTTGGCTTTTGACCCATGGCCAAATGAGTCCTTCGCTCCTATCTCGGAGCCTGAAACTTTTCTGGTCGCCTGAAGAGGCGACTGCCTCAAGTTCCTGGCGGAAGATGAGGCCGGATGCGTTTTTTTGTTGGCCGCTGGGTGACTCTGCACATGGCCCGAAGAAGGCAGTGGTTAATATGTCTGCAAAGGGGTTGGATTGCAGGGAGGCCAAGCCAGAGGCAAGCATGCTCACAGTTTCTAGTAGAAAGAGAGACAGAGACAGAGAGAGAGAGAGAGAGAGCGACGTGGAGCGAAAGAGAGACCTTTTGGCCCGCCTCAGAACCTGAGCGACTCCGAGGAAGAGGAGGACGCAAGGGGTGGCGGCGGTGGAGACTTTTGCAACTGCGTTATATAATTGCGTTTGCAACAGAAGTGGACGCGGACCTGTATACAGCTTTGCAGGAAAGCGCTTACAAAGAACAGGTGTGCAAGTGTGTGACGAGATCGGCACTCTTCCCATGCCCCTGGTGCACATTTTTTCAATTTTTTGACTCGTTTTCAGCTTGGGGTAGATTGGGCAAGATCTTGTGACATGTCGATGCACTGCGTGCCAAAAAAAGGCTTCCTTGAAACTTCGCCTGACGGGAACTGGTGCCCCATGCCCTTGCTGCCCTCAAGCTCCTTGTGCAAGTCTTGGGATACGATGGTAGACCGGCAGGTCAGACTTCGATTTGTGCAGATCGGGGGAGTTGAACGGATGGGTTGCTTCTTGCAGAATCACTGGCTGGGTAGTGCTTGTTGGCTTCTGGACCTGGCTTTGTTTCGAGACTTCCTGAGGCTCGTGGTACCATAGCTGTTGAGTGGTTGGTTGAAACGAGGTGGTCTTGTCAAAGATGTGGCTGTGGGTCAAAACCCTGTACCCCCAGTGAACATCAATCCACATCAACATGGAGCCATAGGCTATGCCCCATGGCCATGTGAGTTGCTAAATGGCCTTCAGCCTTCCTCTCTCGATGTGTGGAGCGCAGCCTTGCTTTCCAGGATCTTTCCAAGCTGATGCGGATGGACCGGAAGCTCAGCTTGCCCCTCGGCAGATTTTGAGAGCTGGGGATGCTGACAGGGCGCTTGCGACTGGAAGCTTGGAGCATCTGGACCATTCGGACCATTTGGACGCTTCCGCTTGTGATCCAGCCACAGCACGCAAGTCAGTGCTTTGCCACCGCAAACACGAGCGAGCGCCGAAGGTTTGGAGATTTCCCAACAGTGAGCAGTGCTGCTTTCCAGCGGGGGCAAAGGTCAGATCCTGGCGGGAAAAGTCTTGCGCCCAGGAAAGAGTACCAGAACCGGAGACATTTGCTGCGGCCTCTCAGGACCACGTCAAGTCGGAGCTGCCCCTTGCAAATTTCCCCGAATGCCGTTAGGTCATGTGTGTTGCGAAAGCGCGCGCCCTTGGCTTTGATTGGTTCTTTGGCACTTGACTAGAGGCATGGCACGGGTCACCAGCTCTCCAGGAGCAAGTCTCAAGAGACACTGCGCGCCCGGGTCTTCCAGCGGCTGCCGTTGAGCCGGCTGTGCCAGGAGGCGCTCTCATCTTGCAGCTGTTGAAAGACCCGCCAAGCGGATTTTCGGGCAATTTCACAGCTCTGCGAGCAACGTGGCACCCGGATGCACCTCAAATCTGTAGCCAATGGATTTGGCGCTGACGAAAGTCTCGAGGCCACTTGGGGGAGTTGCCTCTCCGATGCGGTGGCAGGCGGGTGGCCCATGGGCCTGCGTGCCGATCAGCCAGGTTGATGGGCAGGGATCATCAAAAGCCCGGCGAGATCACCGAGACGCAGTTTCGGCCGCAGCATCTTGTTGGAAGGGGCATTGTTGCGCATTTTAAAAACACCTACGTAACCTATGGTTCCCCCCTTCCCAAAAAGGAAGTCCATTTCAGAGTTGCAGCAGCGTCTGGGTTGGTCAATCAGAGAAACATCGGTTCTGAGAGGCCTGACGGTGGGTGTCATGGGAGTGCCGGAGAGCCTCTCGTACGCCAACATCGCCAGCCTGCCCTTCGCTGCTCGGCCGGCCTTTGCCTTGGAATCCCGTGCCACTTCGCGCGGGAAGAAATTCGGGGGACAAACAGCCGGGGCCGGGGATGCGAGTGGGCTGATGCGCTGGCAGCTTTCGGGTTCTAAAGCTGTCCAGTTGTCGGCCGCAAGCGGATTCGCATCTGAGGAATACGGATTGTATCTTGGCTTGAAGGAGTGGCTACGTGGGTATGGGTGAAAATTAAACTACCAGGGGGCCAGGTGTTTGGTTCATGTTTCCACTTACGAGGGTTCCATTTGGGGTACATATTTTTGACCCACAGCCACGTGGCGCCTTTGAATTGAGCTACCTGGAATGGGGAAAAGGGGGCTTTGTATGGTTTTTGGGCGTACTGGTCGCGTTCCATTGAGTGCTATCCATGGAGCGAGGTATGCGCTGGTGGTGCCCCAGTTCATCTACTCCTTGCTGGGGCAATCCCGACAGCTCTTGGCTTGCAACTCATTTTTGGGCTGCATACACGGACTTGGGCCCTGGGAGTACAGACTTTTGGCTTTGGAGATTCACCAATCCTGGAGTGGTTTCAAAGATGCCCTTTTCTTGCTCACCTGAGTGTCGACGTGTTCATTTGTTTGCCTTTCAAGCCGTTGACAACTTTCGGAGGCTAATGGTGGGTCCTGTGGCGATGCTTTCGCTGCTGCTGCACGCGGGCCTTGAGGGCGGCCTGGCGCCTTGGCTCCAAATGGTATGAGCACTTGAGCCGGGTTTTGAGCTGGATTTTAGCTCGCCGGCACCAGTTTTTCTTTGGTTGCAGATACTGTTTTTCGGTGCTGCCGCGACCTGGCCAAGGTGGTGCATCACCAGTCTGTGGTTTGGAGTGATAGGCAGCAATGAAGAAGCCGAGAGACATGTTCAGACATTTCGGCTGACTGCCAATTTCGGATAACGATGGACAAGTGGAAAATTGCATGTGACGATCCCTTTCCTGGTTATACGAGTTCTTGTTATACAGTATATAGCCCGAGTCCTTCAGACGTTGCTTCGTGTGTTACTGTTAGGCAGGTGCCTCCTGCAGCTCGGGCTTCAAACAATTTGAGAGTTGTTGCATGGCGGTACCAAAGTTGTTGCGGCGTGCACTCGCCGGTTGCGAGTTCGCCTCGTGGGCATCCCAGGATGAGCACCAGTGCCCACTGTGGTACAACCAGACCAGGGGTGAACTGGAGCTGCAGAGCGAGGCGCGGACAGAGTTTTTGGTTGGCTCTGGGTAGGAGGGCTCGCGAGGCAGAAAGCATGCCATAGCTCTGGAGTGTTTAAGACTTCACTGCCACTTGAGGTTTTTGGGGCGACGTCACTCATCGGTTTTGGTTGATTGGGAATCGCCCGGATTCTCAGGTGTGCAGAGAGAAGTATATCGACATGGCCGCTTGGCAGCCAGTGCTTGCTGTTGCCAGTTTGGCTCTGTCTCGTTCCGAGCAGTTCTGGCAGAAGCCTGTTTGATATCAGAGAGCTCAGGAGCGGTTGATGCAGTATGCTCACAATGTGGTGGTGGTGGTGGTGGTGGTGGTGGTGGTGGTGGTGGTGGTGGTGGTGGTGGTGGTGGTGGTGGTGGTGGTGGTTCTTTACTTCCTTGGAATAATTCATTTCGGCACATGGAAGCCGTTTTCTTCTGCGCAGCTCTCGACCGGCTCTCAGTTGAGGCAATGCTCATGTCGATGATGTCGGGCTGCGTGCTGCTGCTTGCCTGCGCACCTTGGCCTGGGAGTCGGTTCGCATTTAATGGGATCCCATTTTGGGGTAGGTGCACCACCAATTTTAGTCCATTTTAGTGGGGATTGGGATGTTCACTGCGGGTAAGGGATTTTGACCCATGGCCATGTGACGGGTGGAAGTGGGTTGCTCTCCTTTCTTGTACTTGTTCAATCCCTCGATGCCGAGGTGTTGCAACTCGGCTTCCTGCTGAAGTTCCTGGGGCATCCTGTGGCGCAGCTCCATGTAAGGGCCTGCAATTTTTGATCTTATGATACTCTATGCCTCAGAAGATCTCGCAAAGTCCAAGAAGGAAGGGGGCACGATCACGGCTTGGACGATTCTTCTGGGGCCTCTGAAGACTCTTCGCGCGCGAACGCCCAGGTGGTCAGCGGCTTCTCCAGCGGCTCAGCCATTGTCATCATGACTTTTGGCTGAGCATTGGCGCGACCTGTCAGACTTGCCTTTGATTGGCAGCCAAGTCACCTTTGAACTTTCAGACCTCGCCTTTTCAGAACCCAGGATGAGCCAGCTGAAGAACTTCTTGGGCGTGAAGGCACGATCAAGTTCCGATCGTACCAAGTACTATGATATGACCAGACGGTTTGAAGAGAATCGTCACTCACTGGATGTGCTCACACTGAGACCAAACTGCGCCAAATGTCCTGCGCTGCGAATGATTTCACGCCGGTGCCCTCAGGTGCCGGAGTCCGCGCCTCGGACGAAGTGCGCAATCCAGCGGCTCTTCGGCTCTGCGGCTTGAAGGGCTGCCAGAGTAATGCAGTAGGCGCGAGGCAGTTCTGCCAACAGAAAGCAATGCTTGTAGCACACTCATCATGGCTTCTTCTCGCCATGCCTCCGCCTGCGTGGTTCCAGATGCATGCTGTGGTTTCCCTTGACCCTTTGATGGGGTATCCAGTTCTATCGGGGTGCCTCCTCCTTTTGGGGTTGCGCCAGCTTTTTTGTCTGCTAACAGGGCCAAAGGCACGGTGAATGACATAGTAGATCATGGTTAGGAACTTTCGAGTTGAAATGTGGCAAGCAACGGGCAGATTGGATGAGTTCTCATTTGCCAGCCTGCTTCGCTTGCGATGTGCCAACGTGTGGTATGTGGGTAGTGTAAATATTGGAACCGGCACGCTTCTGGAAGGTGGACATGGCAAATCTGTCCGGGCAGCTTGAGTCACAATCAACATGGCCAGTCACTGCCACCCTTCGTAGCCCGTGCGAGGCAGCGTTTGCTATTCCATTTGGGAGCAAGCCTGTTTGTAGCCTGATTGTTTTACACGCAGGGATGGAACGCTTTCCTAATGTTGAGTTCGAGCTCGTGTTTTCCTTGGAATGCCGGCATGGGAAACGGACGGGTTGGTTGCCAAGGAATTTCCCATCCTGATGCTCTACTACTATGCTCGGGCGGTGCCTCACTGCCAGCCGGTCACTCTGGGGTGCCTTGGTTGGGCACCGTCTCGGCATGTAAATTGATGTAGGTGCACATGTGGCTGTGGGTCGAAGCGCTGTACCCCTGGTGAACATCAAAATAGGTGCCACATGGTTGTTCATCCGCCCCAAAATGGAGCCATAGGTTATGACCCATGGCCATGTGAGTGTACCTATGCATATGCAAATTTTGATTTTGCAGTGTTTTCGTATGTTCCAACGTCATGTGACACCAGGCACACGAGCCCGGCCTCCGGCCTGTGAGCCCAGGCTGGGGCTTCTCTTCACCCTGGGCCTGCTGTGCCTTCGGAAGCTGGGGCAGCGCTTCAAGCTGCGGGTGTTGGGCTCCCTTGGCCCCCTGCTGAGCTGCGCGGCCCGGCCGACGAGACTCTTTTTTCTTCGGTTTTTTCCGACGCACGCCCGGGAGGCGTCAGCCATTTCCGGGTAGCCAAGGGAAGAGGGGAAGACTTCTCTTCGCTTCTCCTTAAGCAAACCACGGGCAAAGCGATTGCTTGGGAGGCACTTGGAGTACTGCTGATCTACTTGTGCAAGCCTTTGCAAGATCTGCCAGGACTTCCGCCACAGAAGGGGGGCTTCATGGTTGTAACTCTCAGAGGTTTCCGGATCAGCCTGCCCCACACAGGAACCCGGAAGGCGTAGCAACCATCGGTTCAGAGGTTCTTGGTGTCTTTCGCAGATGTCCTCGATAGATTAGAAGACTTTCATAGACTCCATGGTCAGGACTGGAGTACATGGGGGAGATTCCGGGCGGGAACCTGCCTCTGAGCGTCTCCAGTTTCTCCCGCTGGACCTGGTGGGACGTGAAGTGCAACCTGCCCTTCTCCCTCTCTGTGGCTCTCATAGGTGGGGTTTGGTGTGTGTGTGTGTGTGTGGTTGAGTGGGGTGAAGGATGGTCAAACCAACACGGCTACTGTAAAACCTTCTATGCCTTTTCCTTCCTTGGCAGCTTGACAATTCAGGGTTGCAGTAACAGCCATTCGTTCGAGAATCAATTCTCTTGATATGGCCATGGTTCAAAACTAATGGTACCGTTTTGGGATAGGTGCACCACTCATTTTAGTCTAGTGGGGATTGGGATATTCACTGGGGGTACGGGGTTTTGACCCATGGCCATATAACGGCTTTGGGCCATGCGGCTTGTCAAACTAGTCTCACGAGTCCAATGCTCTTGGCCTGAAGGCTTCCTGGAGGCCTTTGCCACGGCCCAGAGTTTGGCGAAGCAGCACGGCCGCTTGGCCGGACGTGTCTTTGGTCGTTTTGGGCGTGTCGTTGAACGGGATGCCTTTGGTCATCGCCACCTTTTTGCTGCGTTTCTTCAGGCCAATATGGCCGTGGTGGTCAAAACCAGTGGGATCCCATTTTGGTTGGTAGGTGAATTCACCACCCATTTTAGGACCTATTTCGGTGGTTGGATTGGGATGTTCACTGGGGGCTAACCGATTTGGATTTTGACCCATGGCCATATCGTTCTGGTCGTTCCAGTCCTGCGAGTCCTACCAACCAGTCACTGAGTCACGCCGAGGCCAACAGCTCAGCTCCAGTCAGGAGATGCTGGCGCTGGGAGCGGCCAACATTTTGGGCTCCGTTTGGACGGCGTACCCAGCGGCATGGCATGCAATGGGCTTCATGAGAGGGCCGATGCAGGTTTTCTTTAGCTACTAAGGCCAGGTAGAATGGAAGGGCTTCAGCCTCTTTGACGGCTGTCCTTGGTTGGGCAGCGGTTAGGTGGCAAGATTGGAGCAACCTTCAACATGCCGACAAACACATTCTCGGGTATGAAGCGGAGACCTGTTGCCAACCCGCTCGGGCTGAGTCTTCTGGCAGCTTCTCCCGGAGTGCCGTCTGCAACAGCACTGGGGGCTCTTCGCAGCTGGCGGGCCTCGTCTCAGGCGAGGGGAGAAGAGGTGAGATGGGTAAGGACAGTGTTTGTTCCGGTCCTTGAGGCAACTCCGTTGACCCCCAGGTAGAGTTCACACGGACAAGGGACACTCATGAGGCAGTCAGCGAACGTTTCGTAGCCATTTGGCCACAAGCGGTGTGCCAAGAACTCTCCGGCCGTTCCGGAAAATACTAGTTACATTTACATTTAGCAGACTCTGGCGCAGAAATAGATTCCGAGTTCCTTCCTTCGCCTTCTGGGCGTCCGGCCAAAAGGCGCCCAGGTAGCCGCATCCATTGAGCAGGAAAAATGCGCGGCTCCCCGGCAAAACCGGCGAAGCCGGCGCAGCTGCAGGTCATCGGCGCGGGCTGGGGACGCACGGGCACCAGCAGCACGCAGATTGCGCTGGAGAAGCTGCTGGGGGGGCCCTGCTACCACATGCGCGAGCGCCCAGGTTTTGGCTTCAGAAACGAAACCTGAGATTTGGATGTGACTGTGGTGGTCTAAGCCAATGGGATCCCATTTTGGGGTGAATTCACCACCCATTTTTGGACCTATTTTAGCGGGGATGGGGATGTTCACTGGGGGCTAACCGATTTGGATTTTGACCCATGGCCATGTTGGCCTCTCTGTTTCAAACAGGTCTTCATTGTTGAGCAGCTTGGAGCTCATGTTTGGTCTCAAAGCATTCATCTCAGCTTCGATCTCCAGATTCAGGTGCTTCGTGGGGAACGACTTTCAGAAGTGGATCGACGTGTACAAGGGATTGACGCCTGACTGGGATGGCATCTTCACCCATCCCGACGGCCGGTCCTACCTGGGGACCCTGGACTACCCCGCCTGCGGCATGTACCAGGAGCTCATGGAGGCCTTCCCCGAGGCCAAGGTCCTTCTGACGGTGCGCGACCCGGAGAAGTGGTACGACAGCGTGATTGACACCATTTGGTCCTGGCGCTGTGGTGAGCAGAACTGGTCCTTCAGGTGGGTCTTGCGCCGAGACATGCTGGAAAGCGCAAGTCCGCAAGTCCGCAAGTCCGCAAGTCCGCAAGTCCTTCCTTCGCCCGAAATTTCCCTTCAGTCTATGGGTGCGGAAGACTTGAATCTGAGAACGGGGTCAACGGGGTCATGTTCCCCATGTGTCCAAATGCGCGAAAATCCAATTGTGCATATCCTGACTTGACTGCTATTGGGCTGGATCTTTAGACTTTAGCTTTTTGGGAAATCAAGGGGTTTTCCACTAAACCCTCAAAAGTTAAACTTTTGGCAGGGGGGGTCAACAGCAACCAAGCTGAATCGCGTACTGAAATGTAAGAAACCGCCGCGAAGACGAAGACCCTGCCAGGATCTTCCCCACCGGCCGCAGGTTCCAGGAGCAGGCGCGGCTCTTCCACCAGAAAACGATGCTGCCCAATGTGAAGCGCACGGATCGGGAAGGCGAGGAAGGAACCGGTATCCTGGGCTTGTGTCTTTTTGAGGTCCCCAGTGAACATCCCAATCCAACCACCAAAACAGGTTCTAAAATGGGTGGTGAATTCAGCTACCCCAAAATGGTACCATTGGTTTTTGCGTCTTTTTTCGAGGTTGCCCTTCAAATTCATCAGCAATTTCGGCTCATGGGTAGTCTCAGGATTGAGGTAGCCCTTCAAAGAAAGCTGCGATTTTGGGGGTTTCCACTACTTTGACACCTCGGATTAAAGCCGCGAGGCGGCTTGAGTTGACGCCAGGCTCCGTGAGGTCGTTCAAGGCGTGGGTGGAGCGAGTCAAATCCACGGTGCCACCAGAGAAGCTGCTGGTCTTCGATGTCAAGGACTGATCGGGGGAAGTTCCTTAGTTCGACTTGCGATCTTCGGGTTAGCCATGTCAATGGGTCAAAATTAAACCACCAGGGGACCGCATGTTTTGGTCCATGTTTTACCAGGGTTCCATTTGGGGTACCTATTGTTGACCCACAGCCACGTCCTCAAAACCCGGGTAAGTAAAGGTAAGGGGGGAAATCCCAGCCAGAAGTCGTTGCGGCCGCCTTGTATTCCGTTACATTGGTCTTGGCACACCATGTTAATACCAGGCTTTGATTGTGGCTCAGGTTGAGAAGCTGCATGTCTCAAGTTGCAGAGCCGAAAATGGACCCAACCGATTTGCGGCAAAGGCAGCGAAGAGTCACGTGGCTGAGCTTTTTCGCAGGAGGGCTGGGCACCGCTCTGCAAGTTCCTGGGCGTGCCGGTGCCGGATGAGCCTTTCCCCAACGTCAATGATCGAGACTCCCTCATCAAGGCGCGTGAGACAAAGGGGGCTACCCTCCGGCCAGGGCAACTGGAGCAAGTCGTGAGGGGAAGTCTTTTCTGAAGCACAGATGTTCGCCTGACACTCATGTCAGGCTGATGTTCACTTGCTTTTTGGGGCTTGAGCGCTTCTCACTGGCCAGGAATTCAACGGAATCCTGGTCGTTACCTACGCCGCCAATTTCCTGGCTCTGGCGCTGGGCTTGGGATGTACATACGGCTTGTTTTCCTGGGCGAGGAGGTTCTCCCGCTGAGTGCCAAAACGGCCAAAACCAACAGGATTCCGCGTCGCAAGGTGAAAAGAGGCCCACCGGGTGCGCTTTGGTCAAGAGTGGTGGATGTTTGGGACATGCTTGCTCTAAGTGTTTTTTGTTGCCCGTCGGGCTGTTGGAAGCATGTTTTGGTAGATACACGCGCATGCTGATGTGTTGCATAGCATGTGGTGTCCTGTGCCAGCTGGCCTGTCGCTCCTGGCTTTGCTCTATCTCACCCCGCGGGGCTCCCAACATCGGGAGACCTGGTTCGGCGTGACCGAGTTGAGAGTAGCTGGCCGAGGCTCTTCTACTACCTGCCGAAGTTTGTTTTGGCTGCCATCGTCGTGAGAGCTGCGCTTATTCCACCTATAGCTGCAGAGCTCAAGGGACCGGAAGACGACCCCTGCCTAGGTTCTGTCACAAAGTTGGTGGCGTACGACGTGGCCATCAGCTTGCCGGGGCCCTGAGACCCTGAGATGGCATGATTTCGACCGGCGCGCGCGGGCCCGGAGACTTGGCTCTTGACCGATACCTGGGTGGTTGGCAAAGGTTCAAAGTGAAGAAGTCCGACTTTCTCATGTGGGTGGCCGAGCCCTGAGTTGCTCAGAACTTGCATCAGATAGCCCGGCAGTCGACCACCCTTGAGCTCAACTCTTTTCCGTGGGTGCAAGAAGACAAGTCGGGCGCGAAAGGGGGGAAAAAAGAGCACTTCTCGTAATGCACAGAGGTGTCCTTTTTGGTTGTTTTGGTCGGTGAACAAATAGATGGCCCTGGTTTACCTGGTGGCTTAATCATCTACCAGGGCCATCTTCCCCTCAAAGGACTGGGAGCCAACCTGCGTCGTGCCTTGCCGAGACCGCCTTCCTGGGTACGCTCTGCCTGGGACCTTTGCTGGGTATCGGCCTGGCTGTGCTGCCGCCCGGAGAGATGCTAAGAGTTGGCGCCAACCAAAAGGGAAAAGCACGGAGAAGCCGTCGAACGTTTTCCGAGGGATCCCCCGGTTTTGAGAATTCCTGATGTCACAGGCTAAAGGAAAGGAGGCCATGGCCATGGCCAAATTGTTTGTAATAGGTGCTCTTAAGGTGAAAAGCCGCATCTTGTGTTGCCCCTCTGTTCATGTTGGGTTTGCTTTGAGTTTCATGAATACCCAAGGGCGCATTGGGCCAAATGATCATTTTTCTTTGGGATATGCATGTCCCGCAATACTGTGATGCTAGTGTCAAGAGGCCAGAAGTCCATCCGGCCACTCAGGTAAACATCATGTACAGGACGGAATAGCTGGACCGCTTAAATGGGGATTCAGACACCCACAAAAGCTCTTGTAAAGATGGGCGATGCCATGTTTTCCTTGCCGTCCACGCCCACTGCCCCATTCACAGTCCAAACAGAGCCTCATGCCTCGGGCTCGCTGGCGAGGCTTTCGTTGGCCGTGGTGATCTATGAGTCTGTGCACCCGCAGATTCAGCCGCTGGGACATGGAGTTCGGTCTTCCAGCGTGTCACTAGTTGAAGTCAGGTCTGGAAAGCCCTGATTTGCCTTCTCATGGGCGGCTCAAGCAGTTTCGTGCACAAGACTCCATGCAACAGTTGAGTTGAATCCATTGAGCTTGGAGAGTGACACCCTAGTGTAGGGCCCGTAGACTTCATGTTCAACTCACTTCCTGCTGTACTTTGATCCCTGGCCCTGTGTCACTGAGGGTGCTTTGGCGCATTGAGGGCACAAACAGAAGCTTGGCACTATTTGGCCAGACTGGTCGGCAACACTTCTGGGTCTTGCAGACGTGGCACATGAGCCAAACAATGCAATAGGTGCCAAGTTGCCTCTTGCGACATTGTGATCAGGTCTGCGCTGTCGTCTTCCTGCCATCGCCCGTTTTCTGTTTAGCCCTGATCCGCTTTCAGGCTACCGGTCCATCCAGCAGGATCCCAACGGCGCGTTCATCGACGGCGTCTTCATTGCCCCCAGCTTGAAATACGAGGAGGCCTTTTTTTGTGAGTGGTGGGAGCTCCGTTAAGTGAATGGGTTGGAACCAGCAAGGTGTAAACTGCAAGTTGCAGCACGTCTTACCAAGTCACGTTTCTCTCAGCTGCTGATGTCTCAGGTTCGCATTGGCGGTTCCCTGTACTTTGCCAACGTGGCCTATGTGGAGGAGACGCTCTTGACCTTCATAGAGGAGACTTGGCGGGATTGCCATGGACACTGGCAGATCGGTTTCATGGGAGGCTATCTCAGAACTAGGGACCCCTCCAAACAGTTGGCCTCATGTTGGTTTCCCTGGAAGATGAGGGCGCTGGTTTTGACACATCCCCATTTAGCCTCACCAGATTCCCGCGCAGCGCTCGCACCAAGGACATAAATGCCATCAGCATCTCGGTGATGTAGATATGCTGTGCCTGGATATTCGCTGGCTCACACATTGCCGTATCGACATGTGGTTGCCTAGATTGAACCCACTTTTACGGCAGACACGGTGGAGTGCGGCTTCCAACACCAACTCGGGCTGCGAAGGCAAGATGGAGTATCTCATTCTTGACTTCACCCCTGTCACCACAGCCGACTTCTCCGCAATGGAGGTGTCGGGGGGAATTTTGGGAACATCCAACATGTTTGCGGGTCAAGCTGCCATGTTCCGTGTCGGTGGCTCGGGAATGCTCATGCGTAAGGCTTGGGGCAAGCGCCCGAGTTGAATGCTGAGTGGGAAGGCGCTGCGGGACGTGGTCCAAGACTTCCGCCACAAAGGCGAGAGCGGGGCTGGGGCATTGGGGCGGGTCTTCGGCCGGCCGGCTGGCTTCCTTGCCGGGATGCGATCCTCAACCAAGCCCCTCAGGTACTTGTGGAGTCCTAGATATGCCAGACCATACCTCATTCTGAGTGCAAGACGAACACCTTCAAGTGCAGAACAGCTTGCGCCTTCAAGTGACCAGGGCATGAGCCATTCACGGCCAAATAGAACCGGGAGATGGCCCAATCGGACGCGCACTCGAGGTGTTCAGGTGGCCTTCACCTGCATGGGGGATCGCCTGGAGCGGGGCTTCCAGCGCTTCGGGTTGATGGACTTCTTAAGCGAGGACCCGGCGGTTGCGGACCCCGCAAAGTTGGGGGGGGGGGACGAGCGCACGAGCGCCTGGTGTGGTTGCCAAGGGCATTTCTTTTCCGGAGTTGCCAGGTTCTTTTCCTTCGTGAGCATGCCTGCTTGGAGCCGGTTTGTTGGCGTTCTGGTTTGTTGTGCTGTGGTATCTGTTGAAGTGGTTAACAATATACAACTTGCAATTGCGGTTCTTGTTTTGCCCTGTTTGTGGAGGGGAGGAGATGTTGTTGCTGGCAGTGGCAATGGTGAAGTGGTAGCAGTAGTAGCAGTAGTAGCAGTAGTAGCAGCAGCAGAAGGAGTAGGAGTGAGGAGTAGGGGTAGTAGGAGTAGTATGAGGAATGGGAGTAGTAGGAGCACTAGTAGGAGTAGAGTAGTAGGAGTAGTTGTAGTCGGAGTCGCAGTCGGAGTCGGAGTGGGAGTCGCAGTCGCGAGTCGCAGTCGTAGTTGAAGTCGCAGTAGGAGCAGGAGCAGGGCAGGAAGTAGCAGTAAGAAGCACTACTAGCAAGACAATTAGCAGTTTGAGGGAGTAGTAGTGGGTAGTAGTAAGTAGTAGTAAATAGTACCAATACTAGCAAGTAAAAGCCAGTAGTAGTAAGGTAGTCAAGTAGTAATAAGAAGTAGAAGCAGTAAGTAGTAGTAAGAAGCACAGTAGCAGGATTAGTAGCAGAAGCAGTGCAATGGCAGTAAGTGCAGTGATTGAGTTTTGAACATGCTTTGTTGATTGAGCATGCTGCGATTAGTGCAACCTGCTATTTCAACAGCGAGCACTGCGGGCTGCAGTCAGCTTGCAGGAATGGTGCTTCCCCAGTGTGCACGAGGCCGTGGTTTATTGCGCTGGGGCCCTGGATTTCGGCTACGTGAATTTGTCTTGCTGGTGCTCAGTAGGGAATGAGGGAATGAGCCCTGGGCTCCCCTTAAGGGAAGCCACAAGGGATCGTTTATAGGGGTCATTCCATTTCTCATTTCCTGCCTATCGCGCCAGCAAGTTGTTGATGCGAGCGACCCCCCCCCGCAAGTTCTCGACGCCTTTGGAGCCTCCCTAGGCGTTGCTAGTGCTGGGGTGTGTGGGATGAATCCTCAGTGCACCAAACTTCGCGCCGTTGCCCAGATCTGCCGCTGCAACAAAGACCCCAAGGGCAGCTTCCAGCAGGAGATGGGAGGGACATGCTTCAATCACCAGGTCAGTTTGTGTCTCTGCGCCAAACGGCCGGTTCTGGTGGACAGGGGTGGTGATCAACTCTTCTATTTGTGCTCAGAACTCGAACAGTGGCCTCGCCTGGCAGTCACACCAGTTCTATATCCGATGGGTGGCTCTATGTCCCGGATTCGAACCTCCGTGCTCATGATCTTGCCCGGATCGCTTCCAGTCTTGCTGAAAGTTTGTGTGTTTCTGGCCGTCCCATCCCTCAAGCCAGCCGAACTTTCAATCTGTGTGCCGGATATGTGCCAACGAACTTCCTGCTGGCGTCCAATTCTATTTTGTGTATAATATATATTATATACAAACACACCTAGAGACACACCATAGATGGATGTTTGTGTCGTGTGCCGCTGGGTTTCTTCTTCCCTCTCTCTCTCTCTCTCTCTCTCACTGCGCCCGCTGCATTTTGTGTGAGGAGATGGAGACGGCACTGCGGGAGCTGGAGCGAGCCGAAGCCCAGGCGAAACCGAGGGCACAGGGAGGGAGGGAGGGAGGGAGGGCCCAGCGCCTCCCTGCTGGTTTGGGGTTTTGGGGTTTGGTCGTGTGTGTTTGTGTGTCTGTTGTTTTGGTGTGGTTTGGCCGGATTGGGTTTGGTTTTGGTTGTGGCTCTTTGAAGTTGTGCACGCTGCGCGCAGGCTCAAGCCTGATCAAATGATGATGCCGGGAGCAAAATGATGGCCAGGAACTTGAACTCGCGGCGGAGGCCGGCCAACGAAGTAGTTGGAATGAGCTGGGCGTCGGTGACCTCTGCTTTTTCAAGGGGGTCTTCTCGAAGCGGTAGAGGGGTGGCGCAGACAGTGAAGCGTTGAACGACGTTTCTTTCGAATTTTCGATTGGTGAACGCGCGGGCTCTCGCGGCGATCCAGTTTTTTGGCTTTCCGAACGTTCGAAGAGGCTGTTAGCGAAGAGGGGCATGCTCACCCGACATGCTGATTTAGGCGCAGGGTGCCACACCCGGGTCGAGCACACCCCTTGACGTTTGTCCGCTACATGTCAATGCAAACCATCTCACAAACACACGTGACTCCTCCTAGAATGGACGTTTCGAAATAAACAATTATGTTTCACAAAATGGCAAGCACTATCGACATAAAGATCTCGAAAATCAGCAGTTTGGGTTACGGGGTATGCTGTCTTGGTCTGTTCAAAAGATCGCGCTGGAAAGATGGGTTCGAACGGCTGGAAGGTTACAATCATGGCCCCCGCGAGACGAGTTTGTTGGAAGGCGGTGTCGTTGCCGCTTTGCTGCGGAACAGGGCAGGCAGCCTGGCTTCTGCTTGTGTTTGAGGCACGCCTGAGATCGAACGGACCCTTGGCGCGGAGAGCTGGGCAGCCGGCTCTCACACGTTGTTGGCCCCAACGAGTGGAGCGCGCGCCTTACCAGAACGAATGCAAACCAGGCTATCTGCTGCGACAAGAGGTTGCACGGAAAAGGTTGCTGGCCCGTGTTCCCGCTCGATGCTTTGGCTGGGTTTGTCGCCTTGCTGCGTGAAGTTTAGGCAAGCTTGCCCGTCAAGTTGTCTGCCAGCCAGCATGCTGGCTCTTTCTTCTTCCTGCCCAAGAGAAAGGGAATTGAGAATGAAGAGGGCAAAAAGGAGAAGCGAAGGGGGTTCCTTGGTGTGGGAGATGAAAGCTAAAGGAGAAACGAAGGGACTTATGGAAAATGAGTGGGGAATGAAGACGGCTAAAATGAGAAAGGGAGCCTAGGGCCGCTTCTTCCAAGGGGGCGCTTCCCGTCAATGAAGTGGGAACGAATGCGGGAAGTTGTAAATGCGAAGTGAAACCTTGGGAAAGAAGACAGGAAGCAACTATTTGGGCAGCGCTCGCCCGCGTGTGGAAAGCCGCCGTGTCAGTGACTCCGGCAAGAGGCAATTCTAACGTCTTGAAGCGCTGATTTCTTTGCACCTGTGCGTGAGTCGCGTTCTCTCGGAGATCCTGCGCGCAGGTCCTGCCAACACATCCTACCGAGAGACCCCACCCACAGATCCTGCAAAAATCCTTCGGCAGAGATCTTGTCCAGCAATTTACATGGCTGGGCTTGGCTTTGTTGCGCGGCTTTTTTGGTTTGGCTGGTTTTGGTTTGGCTTGGTTTGCTCGCTTTAGTTTGGTTTGTGTCGCCTTTGGTGCTGTTGGGTTTGGTGTGGCTGGGTTTGTCCGTGGTTTGTTTTGGTTTGGTTTGGTTTGGCTGCGTTTGTTCTGGTTCGGTTTTGCTTGTTCTGTTTTGGTTCGGTTTTGCTTGTTCTAGAGGGCTGGCCATTTTGGACAACAATTGCAAACGGCAGCGCCGCCGCAAGCCTGCAGCAACATCCTGGCAGTGTTAGTCAACTTGGCATGAACATCACATTTTAAACGTTTTGTCGTTTACCTTGTCAAATCTAGGCGCTTCTGTCCATCTGATTTTGATTTCCTCATTAGCTTGTTTTGCGTTAGCTTGTCTCACATTCACCAAGACAGGGCCTTTCACATGGTATAAATCTCCAATCGGTGTCCCTCCCAACCATATGCAGCTAAAGCCTTTGAAACCAAATTGGTGTGACTGTTTGTCAAGGGAGTACCCCCTCAGCAAACGAGGTGCGGCAGCTCCGGAATCTTCAGGGCCGGACTTGAGGTGGACGTGATGCGGCGCTCGTTTGGCATTCAAGAAAAATGAGTGGGGCCCTAAATTGAGGCAGAGTTTGCATTTGGAAGGGACCCATAATTTCGAGACAAGCAGTGAATCCTTTTGTGGCGAGAGGCTGATCTTGCCTTCATGAATGCCAGACATGAGGTGAATACACTTGAGGCTCCTGTGCTGCGGTTGCCATGTTGTGACAGCAAGTTTTGGAGCAAACCTTCTAGTTTCCTGCCTCCCTCTCATCAGCCATGGCTCGCTCCTTGATGCTGACCGGTGCTGTGCTGCTGTGCTCCGGCGCGCTCTTCAGCGCCTTTGTGCCAGTGGCTCGCTCTCCCGTGTCTGCCCCGGCAACCAGCACCGGCACGGCAGCAGCCCTGAGCGCAGCGGTCTTGGCGACACCTCAGGCGGCATTCGCAGATGAGGGCTCCGTCTGGATCCCTGCGCTGTCCGCCATTGGCGCCGGCTTCGCCATCGGTTTGGCCGCGATTGGTTCGGGTGTTGGGCAGGGCATCGCGTCGGGCAGGTGCATTGATGGCATCTCCCGGCAGCCCGAGGTCGCGGATGACCTGCGAGGAGTGCTGTTGCTGTCCCTGGCATTCATGGAATCCCTGACCATCTATGGTCTTGTGATCGCCCTGGTGCTCCTGTTCGCCAACCCTCTGATCAAGTAGGCTCTAGAAGTTGCAACGACTTTTTCCACGCAGATTGGACCTCGAGGTCAGAGAAAAGAGCAGAGAAAAAAACTTGGCCGAGTGTAGGGGACATTTCCTGGCTCTCAGCACGATCGTGCCGAAGCTGTTAGCGTGGCCAGGAACCTTGACATGATTGGCATTTGGGTGACAATTGTCAATGGCCTACGGAAGCTTCGAACAGACAACAGTGACAACCAGGATAGGCGAAGCGGTTGGGAGCTGACATAGCCGTGCACGGGTCGGTTTGACCAGCCAGTTGAAGTTGTTGACAGCCAAGTTGCAGACCGTGCGAGACAGATCGCTTCTATGGAGCCCGGAGAATTGCGGTCATGAGCCAGCGGGCGACTTCGCAGGCGCGAATGAGCTTGGAATCTTACGTTCAAAACATTCCGCGCAGCGGTCTTTTTGTGTGCGTGCTGCTTCACCCCCTTGCCATGTATGTGATCAGGCTTTCGAGCTATTGAACACCAGCGCAGCGACTTGGCGAATTCGAAACAAATGTGCTTGAAAGCCTTGCCTGTTCCACACTCCACTTCCTAGGCAGTCTTCGATGATGAAGAAGGACCGGCGACGTCCCCGCTGTTCATGCCGGGTTAGGGGTCGGAAATCTATGTGGCGCGCGTCAGCAGCTCGCTTTGCCAACCAGTTGAGGCTTCAGACGCATGGCGAACAGTGACATGGCTTTTGGAGTAATATCTCAAGACGGAAACATGCCCAAATCCGAAGCAATCAGGAACCCAACAGTTCCTCCAACTCATTGCCTCAAACCAATGGAGTTGAGGACGCCAGATCACAAACACCTGTGGGATGGCTGTAGCCAGAAAGGTTGTTGTGGTCTTCAGAGTTCAGCCATGGTGGCTTCACAAACCGACGCCTGGAACGATACTCCCCTGTTCCCGACACGCAGCGCATTGGACACCCTTGAGCAACGTGACGGGCCGGGTTGAGCCAAAAGCACGTGCGCGACACGGATGTTCCAACGTTAGCCTTATGTGTGAAATCTGCATTCGTTGTAGTTGCGCCGGACAGGCAACAGCAATTGTCAGCTATATAATTTCATAGGTCGCGTGGCTAGAGACAGCTGAGCGATTCAGTCGGGTTGTTTCTAGCAACTGTTGTTGTGTTTTGGTCTTTGTCAAAGGAATGTGCGCCCTCGTGCATATCTTTGCAAGGAGAGCCGAGCTCTTTTCTCGCACCCCGGCCTGCGCCCGACGTGCCTCCGACGCGGCTGTTCTTGGCCTTGCTGCGGCTTAACTGAATTGGAGTGGCGATAGTGCGGGCGAAGGTGTGGACTCTTTGAGCATTCCTTCTTCCGATCCTGTCTTCCATCATCTCTTCACGGCAGGCGCGGGCCATGCCCACCGACATGCTTTGCAAGGGACCCCCGTGGAGGCAAAGTGGACATGCTTCCGAAAAAGCTGCAAGAGCCTCTACATATTTACCCGACAATATTATTGAATGACTGCGGTTGTGCGACATCACGGGGCTCACAATCTCCAAAACCTATCAGGAACCCTGAAAGCCGATGGGGGCCTACCCAAGACCGATGCCCCTTTACCAGAGTAAATACCTGCAATGCTACGTCTTGTGTCGCGAAAGCCGTTTTGGCTCTTGCAACCTGGTTGAAGTCATGGCAGAGTGGACCGTGGAATCCAAATTTGACAGATGTGATAGATTGTGATAGACAGATCTGGCACACAGAGACTTTCACAGACAGATGCAACAAAGAGATCTGGCAGACAGGCGTGACAGAGCCTGTTGCACGGGTGTTTGTTGGAATTTTGTCTCATATAGAAATAAGGAGACAGCCCCTTAGACAACGCGCCCCCGCCTCCAGCCGTGTGACCGACCCGCCTAGGAGGGCCGTGGGCCCGTTGCTGCACCAAAAGATCACTGTCAGTGGTGTGTTCGTTTGCCAGGTCTTTGCCAAAAAGCTAATTCCCCACCCCCAAAGTGTAAGCAGTTGCACACGTGTGGCTTGTAGATGTGTTTGAGGCAGATACGAAAGATGCTCCAAGGCCTCTCACACTTTTACGGGAGCTAGCTGCTGGGCCATGAAATCTAAACCGGCCATCGCAGGGCAGCCTCCGATGCAGATTGCGGTTGGAGATCAAAGCCCTGGGCTGGTCACCCCAGACAAGCAGCCGTGAACTCCCCAAAGCCCACAGTCGCGCAAGGCGTGCAGACAAGACATCTGTGGATCTTTGGTGGACCGCTTTTTGCTGGCTTTGAGGTGTGCGACGTGCTTTAGTTTGCCCTGATTTCTTGTGTTTTTTAAGCTGAGCAAGTCGGCGCCAAAATGCGTGAGCTGGTTTTCAAGGTAGAGGGTGTGTGCGTGCCTGCGTGTTTCCACATGGCTTCAAGGGCCAGAACGCGAGCCGCAGAGAGGTGAGGATGCTCACAAGCAAACGCAAACGCAATCAAGTCATATCTGATGATGTGTTTTAGTTTGTTGGCAGATTATGTCTCTGTGCATATGTGCATATATACACATACTAAAATAATTATATATACACATATTTAATACATACATATTGTTGACGGGTACAGTCGCCCTTGCGCCCCGATGTCAACTTTCAAGCCGCGCACTTTGCTCGGCCAAGGCTGGCCTTGAACCTCTACTTCGACTCCAGCGTGGCGCTGTGGCAGAACGTGTGCCTTGCCTCAGGTATTTTTTATTGTTCATCGGGGGTTCCGATGGCCGCAGGACAAGTACGCGTGTAGCATCCCACCCATTTGTTAGACATTCTGCGGCCAGCCAAACTGAAAAATGGCCGGGATGCCTTGCGGCGGCTGGAGGCTTTGCGCCGAATGCCAGGTACAAAGATGCACGGATCAGGCAGGATGGTCCAGACTGCACAGCAGTCCACGTCCCTTGGGTTGCAAGTTTAAGTCAATTCGGTGACGCGCGTCGAAGATGTTCGATCTCTCAGTCTTGTTCAGTGAGACCGGTGGTTTCAGCAGCCCAGGATTGGATTTTATCGAACAAAGACAGCTACTTGGATGGCACTGCGGGAGTACAAAATCAAGTTGTGGTCTGAGCACACACACACACACAAAAAGTATGATTTTCCGGCCGGCGCATGGTCTGCACAAAACAGACAGCGTCCGACTCAAACATCTTCAGCAATTGTTGGTTGCCATTTTCCCAGTTTCCGGTTTGTTTTGAGTTTGAATGTTTGCTATAGCTGTGGTCATCTCAGTATTCATCTGGCAGTGGGTCAAAATGGGGTAACCCCAAATGGCTTGCCCTGGCAAATGGAACCAAGGACGTTCTAGTTCCTGCGGTCCAATTCCCGCTGGCTTAATTTTGATGCATACCCAAGTGTCCAGTGGGAAATACCCATCTTGGACCCATACTTGACCCATGCTTGGCCCATATCTGACTCATACCCATCTATTCACTTTGGAAGAGCTGCAAGCCGTGGGTGGAGGCTTCGGCGCCAAGCTCTGGGCGGCCCCCGGCTGCCCTGAGGGACTGCTGCAGTCCGATCAGCCCGATCCGCAGGCGTCCGGTGTGGCCGTGGCCGTGGGAAAACAAGGGGGACCCGTCCGGAGGGGTTGGGACACCCCATTGGAACCACGCCCAAAAAATGGGGAACCTAAAAAAGCAAGACACTTTTTACCCCATTGGAACCACGTTCAAATGGGGAACCTGAAGACCACGCCCAAAAATTGGGAACCTGAAAACTGGAAAATGGGAACAAGGACTACAACCTGCGGTCTGGTGGATTGATTTTGACCCATACCCAAATGGGGCACCTGAAAAAAGAAGCACGCAGCCCTGAGTTGAGCTTGGCGAACCGGATCGCAGGCTCTCTTTGCGCGGCGCCTGGCCGAGGCGCGGTATGGACGATAGGGCTAGAACACCTGGAGTTCGTCCTTCAGTTCGATCTTGACTCCGGCAGGCCCAAGCTTTTTAACCGGGTTAAAGCATGGCGTAGGCATTGTGGGGCAAGGCCTGTGCCTAACTGAGGAAGAGTCAGTGGAGAAAGAAGATCAACAGTGCTCATGGAAGGTGGCTTGTCAGCATCGCTGCAGAGTGGCGAGACTTACCCTCCCCCAACCAACATGGCAACTCCCTTCAAAAGGAAAGAAATCTTCCAGGTACCTCCCGATGAGCCAAGGCTGTGGTGCACGTGCCCACGGGGCGCCTGAAGTGCAAGCCGCAGAGCTTTACCAAAGGCCAGGATTCGGACGCGGACGCCCTGTCGGCTTTGTTTGCTTTCCTGCGCGGCGCCCGGTTGGAGCGCCTGCACAAGAAGGCTGCCACGAGAGTTTCCACTTTGGGCCGAGAGAAAAAAACCACCAGGAATTGGACCGCAGGAAATAGAACGTCCTTGTGTCCATGTACCAGGGATCCAGCCCATTTTTTGGGGTTCCCTACTTTTTGACCACCCGCCATTTCTCGGTGAACTCCGTTCCACCGCCAGCCATTTTGGGTTGACCCGAGCAGTCCGCAGGCTGCGCGCTCTTCTTCCAGGCCATGGGCGGCCTCATCATGTGGCCTGTCGGGACCGAGGGCTTGAGGCAGATTCACAAAGACGGAACCATGGACGGGCCAGGCTCGCCCCAAAACGGATGAATTTGAGCGCAGAATGAAGCCACAGAGAAGCCCTATGCTTTGGGCAAACACAGGCTGAGGGCTGTGGATTTGCTTTGAGACAGCTAGAATAGCTTCTCGACTGCCGGAAGTTGGGCTTCTGATGTGAACATGAGACCTGGATGATCCCGCGGTGTATTTGCCATCACTGTGGGAAGCATGTCTGTGGGTAAGTAGCCAAGGTACTATTGCCGCCGCCTCAGCGAACGAGTGGCATGGATTTGATGGCCTGAATGGACAGGCGCATGAGCCAACATATTGTGGATCTACATATTGAAGCGGCTGATGGGGAAATAGCTTGCGCCATGTGGAGCCCTTGCAATACAGGCTGCGCTAGCCACACTAATTGGCTGAGGCTACAATTACTGGGCCTCTTGGACAGCACATTCGTTCGCTGCGCACCGCGCCCTTCAAACTTCGCCCAGAGGGGGGAGCCACTTGTGGCTACTCATTCCGGCGCCCGGTTGGAGCGTTAGGCCTTGAGGTGAGTTCTGTTCGAGCGAGTTGCGGCAAGCCCAGGTTGGCGGCAGGGCGCTGAGTCGCACCCGGAGGTTTCAAGGGCGAAGTGGTGAAACGGAATTTCCGTGTCAGGGGCTGGAAGGAAACGGGCTGAGTACTTTTGGCTTCCCATGAGAGGACCCTGGTGGATGAGAGTTCAGAAGATTGCATGGCTTTTGATCTTCAGAGCGCGGCTTGCGGAGAGCAAGCCTTCTAAAAGTCGCGTCGAGGTTTCGCGCTCATCAAAGAGTGCATCAACCCAATGCGGGTGCTGAAGTTTAGCGCGGTAGGCCCGAGATGTCGTGTCCAGCCAGAGACCATAGCACAAAGCCAACGGCTTCCAGGCGGCATGTTCGGCTGCGGCGCGGTCTTCAGCTTCCTGGCGCAGGATGCGCTGTCCCCAGGCAGCGGCTTGGCAGTGGATCCCAATGTCCTGACGAAGTGGCTGGAACGGGTTGCAAGGTCTCAGGGCACTTTCCAAGGCATACGTGCTCTTGTTTGGTGCGACATTGCCCCAGGAGTGTGATTTGTTGATCTACTCCCCGTGACATTGAACATGTGCTAGTGCAGAAGAACCAATAGTCAATTCGCGATCTACAAAAGGCGTTTGTCAGAGTGTGGTGCTTAGCCCAGGCTATGCGCTCTACGCACAGTGGCATGGCCGCAGAAATCCAATTCCGACTCTGGTTTCAATCCCCTCAGTACCAGCCATATTTTGCGCTGCCGCCGCGGATTTCTAGATGTTGCAAAGGAAACCGCCACAGGTTTTTCAGGAAGTGCTCGGTTCATCCGCTGTTGCAAGTGAGCAGCTGCCTTGAGGTCTGGGGTGGTTATCGTGCCCATCATTTGGCGCTTCACGCTGCTTGGCCGGAGGTTTTGAGAGGCTTTGGCATGTGACTGGGGGATGTGGAGTATCTCCCCAAAGGACTGTTGTGGTATCCCGAGCGTGCATCAATCCCTTTGCGACAATGCGACACATTCTCCTATTTCTTGGAGCGTACTTTCCGACAACTCTCTTGACCTGCGGACGTGGCGAATCGCGCTTTGCATTTGCCGCTGGCTGCGTGCGCCCGAAGGTTCCAGAAGCCAATTCCTGTGCTGACCTGGATTCATATTGGCAACTTGGCCTTACGGACACGAAGCAGACATGTATCTGAAAAGGCAAGAGTTTGGTCAGCTGAATTTGTTGCATCACATGCTTGGCAGCGCTGGGCGCTTCATGCCGAGGCATCATAGCTCTTGGCATTTTCGCGTACCGCGTCTCCGAGATTGACTTGGACCACATGTTCGATGGCATCGGGCCCGCCCGAACTGGCATTGGTCTCTTCTTGGATCTGGCAGAAGTCCAGCCCCTTTTGGAACAAAGCTTGGCCAAAACCAATGGGAGTTGACATTTGCATGCAAACGCAAAAAAAAGACCAACGCCAACTCTGTTGCTGGCCATGGCAATTTGCTTTCGTGCAAACAACACAACTCATTTGGGGACGGCAAGTCTGTTGTTTGGGTTCTTGGCCATGGCAATTTGCCCTCCCCCGCCATGCGGAAAAAGCAGCACACAGAACCACACACTGTGAAAAATCACCTACACACAAGAAGAAACGAGGAAAAGAAAAACAAACACGCCCACCCGCCGTGCTCGGCGGAACCCGAGCGCGCCGAGCTCGAGTTCTCGAGCTCCGAAGGCTGATGTGGGTCATGCTGAAGGTGCTGATGGCCGGGCTGGGCTCCGTGGTGGCGGAGCTGCTGCTGAAGCAGGACACCGCGCTGCCCTTCACCGTGCGCCTCGGGCGTAATGCGGCGTGCGAATGCGCGCGTTTTTTTTCTTTTTCGGTGCCTTTTTTTTGGCAAAAGCGCCTCGTGGGAAAGGGCAAGACACGGCAAGACACGGCAAGACTCACAGTCACAGAAGTCGCAGAAGTCGCAGAAGTCGCAGAAGAGCTTTGCCCGGTTTGCTGAGCCCACGCTTGGGCCACTGGACATTGGACAGATGAGTCGAACATGTCTTTCCGTGTTGGGCTACGGAACACAAATACCGCGCGCGGACTTGGTTCTGCATGCGACTGCTCAGGCAAGTGGCTTGCATCCTGCCATCAAAAGCGCTGGCTTGCTTGCTGACAATTTGGCTAGTTCCAGGCCTGTCCGATTTGGCGCATGCTCCCCGTGGCTGCCAGAAAGGACTGCAAATTCCGTCTAGCAACCGTATTGCCTTTTTTGTGAACCATGCGCTGGGGGTTCACGACCATCATGTTCGACAACCACAGTTGCAGATGACCAAGCTGCATGCCAAAGGGTTGGTTTCGTTTTGTTTCCATAATCCCTTTAAGTTCCAGATGTTGACGTTCCCTGGCAGTTCAAAGTCCATGCGATACGAATTGCGCAAGTCGTTGCCAGGTCCCAACTTTGAATGGCCCAGCGAGTTGCCGGACAGGCAAGACCCTTTGTTTTCGGCCTGTGGACCGCGCTTTGGCAGGCAGTGCACTGTTCGACACCGTTGACCGAATTTGACACTCGTGCGTGCGGGCGAGAATGTGCAATAGGCTTGCCACGAATACATGAAAGCTTTCGCGCTTGGCTGCAGCTGCTCTCAGATTGACAGACCGAAGACGAATACGCTGTAATGGCATGGCCTGCGCACAGGATAACCATGTTGTGTATGTGGCTGGGATTCGCGGAGCTGTTGTTCGAGCGGAATGCAGAGTACATGGACAGTCGAGGTCAAGCACCACCCATCCCTGGCAAACGTATTTTGATGCACAGAGGGTCAGTGACATGGTGACATGCACAGGAAGGACTCTGAAGGAGTTTGCAGTAGGGGCAAACTAAAGTAGACTCACGGTAGCTTGTAGCATGTCACCTCGTATGCACAGCAAACAGCAGACTCTCACTCCAGCAGAACCGTCGTCGGCCGCTCCCCGCTTCTGTGGCTTCTCTTCATCTGCACCATGGCGCTGGCATGAGCCTGCCCAGCTACGCGCCGCAGATCCTGGATGTGCTCGGCACGGATTGGGTAGGCAGCGTGTCGATCATAGAATCGCTTCTATTTTTTTAGTGGTGGATTTCTATTGTCCTTGAATTCCCATGTTACTATTGCCAGTTCCTGGTGTAGCTTTAATCCACAAGAACCAGCGGCGACGCTCGATTCTGCTGAGACTTTTATTACTTTTGGGGAGGGTTGAAAGGGTTGGGTGGGGTCGCTTGCTCAGTCGGGCGCCAAAGCACTCTCCGTCCCATCTCATTGAACATAACCGCACCATTTTTGGGGCGGTTGTTGTCTGGAGCCAGAACAGCCATTCGACCTAAGAGGTTCCCACATTGCTTCGCATTCCGAATGCAGGTCATTGAGCAGGGGCACTTTTTTTTGAACTTTGGGCACTTCTTTATATTGTGCGGCCTTTTGACCTTGAGCGTTTTTGTTTATCCTTTGCACGCTGCTTTTTAACAGGAAACATGTGGCACTTCCTTGTTTCACCTTGGCAGCCCGTTTTTTCCAACCTTGTTATATATGCAGTTCTGGCACCTTGGGTGATTTTAGTTTGGTTGCTGCGCTTCAATTTGGCCTTGCCTTCAATGTTGGGCTTCCTTGGCCTTTGGCTTCCAGAGCTCGCTTTCTGAGCTTCGACACTCCGAGCTGCCTCGCGCGTGCGCTTTCCGAACTGTCATGTTACTTGGGTCTCCGAGCTGCTGTGCCTTTTAACCACTTCACTGTCGGCTGCCACGCTCCGAGCATGGACAACCTAAGCCACCCTAAGAGTCTAAGCTACGCTAACCGTAGACAATGTCCCCAACCCTACACCCCACAACCGTCATGCAAGGCCTTGGAGGGTGCAAGGCGACGTGCGTCAGCAGCGCGCCTGGATGGCGACGCGACCTAAACCCGCAAACCCGAGGATTACCTTGAACCAGCCCAAAGCCCACACTAAGCCCGCGACAGAAACAACCTTTAGCCGCCTCGAATCCAACCCTCAGCCCGCCCTAAGCTGCGCCTGGTCAAGCCCAAACCAGCCTTAACACCCTCAACCAACCCCTTATCCATCAGCCAACCAACCTGAAGTCATCGTAAGCCGACCCAAAAGGTCGGTAGAAAGGCTACAAGGTGAAGAGAAAGGGTTGCAAGGTAGAAAAAAGGGGCTGCAAGGCGAAGAAAAAAGGACAAGGGTTCTAAAAAAGCCTCAAGGTTGAAAAGACAATAAATGCACTACTCATGAAGGGCAAGATGCTGAAACGGGTCCCGCCCAACTGGCCCCTTCAAACTCGGGCGATCTTCACATGAGCCACAATCAGAGCCCGGGTAGATGAAGGTTAGTAAGGGACAATCTCAACCATCAATAGCTGTTCATTTTATTTTAAACATGGTTCTGGGTCGACCATTTCAATACCGGGTTTTGATTATGACTTACGTGGCCATGGGTCAAAATCCCGTACCCCCAGTGAACATCCCAACCCCCACTAAAATAGGTTCTAAAATGGGTGGTGAATTCGCCTACCGCAAAATGGGATCCCCTTGGTTTGACCCACAGTCACATCGCCTTCCCCTCCTGTGCCTTTTATTGCAGGCGTCGCGCTGCCGGCGGCCTTCCTGCGCTACGCCGTCTGTGACAGCGGCACCTCGCGGCGCCAGGTGGCTGTGGTTGTCAAAACCGTTTTGGGATCCCAATTTGGTTGCCCATTTCGGTGGGTCGAGTCAAAACCAATGGTACCATGTTGAGGTAGGTGAATTTACCACCCATTTTGGTCTATTTTAGTGGGGAAATTGGGATATTCACTGGGGGTACGATTTGGCTTGTGACCCATGCCCAGGTGCTGCCGTGGGCGCTGCTCTGCGGGGCGGCGGCGCTGGCGGAGCACCGAAATCGCCGGGGAAGCTTCGAGTGCACCCTGCGCCCTGGCCGCGGAAGGGGCCGCTTGCGGGAAGAGGTTTGAGAGAAACGGCCTTTGTGTTCGACCAACCAGGTTGGCAGTTTTGGGGTGCAATTTCATACATTTGAGATTATGTGATCGTTTAGAGGAGACCTATTGCGGCGATTTGGTGGCTCTCCAAATGGTTGGTCTCGTGTTTGCGTGTCCCAAATCACAAACAGTGATTTGTCCTTTGAAACCCACTCGAACTAAAGTCGGGCAAACAACACCACACTCCCGAAAGGGCCTATGATGTTCGACACCAATCTTTCGCCTTTTAATTACTAAACGTTGCCGTGAATGGGACGCATCAATGTGAATTCCGCAATTTTTGTGGAGCTTCGTGTTCCAACTGGTGTGTGAGAAAGAAACGCAAGCGGAACGCAGGGTCACTTGGTTGCCAGACAACCCCGCTGCAAGCCTGCGTTGCAGGTTGGGGGTTGGGCAAGTTGTGTTTGTGCTTTGATTGGGTCCTGCGGGCTTGGGGGGACAAAAGGGAAGTAGGCCGATATTTGCATTGACTGGCGGCACTGTGGGGAGAAGATGACAGGTGTTTTGGACCGTTGCATTCTCAGGCACCATAGCCTCTCTCGAGGGTTCTCGAGTGCATGAATGGCTCTTGCCCCATGGACTTCCCAAGGATCAGTTACGTCTTCTCCTACCTTGTGCCGCTTTCCCTGGGCCGGCTGCCGCTGGCCGTGCTTGGGTCCTTGGGCAGCGGCCTGCTTCTGCATCAGGTGGTGGAGAGAAGTTGGCAGCTGCAGCCCGGCGTGAGCCAATGAGACATTGGAATGGATGGAGAAGGCGAGCAAGGCGTATCTCAGGTGATGGTAGCATTGCATCACGCCCACACGCCCTGCCGCCGCTTGAGGCAAGCGCTGCATGTGCTGGCAGGCCTATGTGTGGTGCCTTGGATGCACATGCAGCAATGCAGCCGGCTGGTCGTGCGGAGCTTGCGGGAATCTGAACCAGCGCGCTTTGAGGGTATCCAGCATCGCTCATTGAACTGCTCAAGTGTTTTCGCGGCTGCTTGCTGATCTCCCTGTTAACCCATCCGCTTCAGGCGTGGCTGGGCTGGCAGCTCTTTCCGCGGCCTGTCTTTGCCCTCCTGGGCTTTGCACTGGGGGCTGCTGGGCTGCCCTGGCTGTTGCTCCAGCTGCTGCCAGTGCATGAGTTCAAGGAGCAGATGTTGGCAGACCTTGACCGACTTGGGGTTTTCGAAGAATGCTCACACGCCGCAAGCCATGGCGGTGGCCGTCAAACTTGGAGCCACCCAACTTGCACGCGCTATTCGAACTTGTTGAACCTTTGACTCAAACCCCTTTGTCCGTTTACAGGCAGCGCATGTCGCCCCTTCTCACACCCCTTCCCACATGGCAACGCGCGCCTGCGCCTACGCACCCCGCGCGCCCCATGCGCGCATGCATGCGCGCCCCATGCGCGAGGCGCGCGTCGCAGGAGGCCTTCGAGGCGGTGGAGCTCTTTCTGCCGAGTCTGCGCCAGGAGGCGCTGGTGCTGCTGATGGCCACGGTCCAGATCCAGGCGACGCGGGGCGGAAGCATCGGAAGGGAAGGCTGCTGAGAACGGGGGAGGCGGCCGAAGGCGCTTTTTGATGGTTTTGGTTACCATGGCCACAAAGGGGAGGCAACCGCAAGTGCTCGGCTTCCCTCCGATTCGTGGTTTGGATTGCTGGTTTGGGGGTTTGAAGCCCCGGCTTTTGGAGAGGGAAATGGAAAATTATCTCTCAACCACGAAACCACCAATCAAAACCACCAATCCACCACCAATTAGAGGGAAGCCGCAATCTCGTGGCGAGGCTGGGTGGGTGTTGGACTTCGTTTTGATCCAAGGGTGGCTGGGTTTCTCTCATTTTGGGAGGTCGAGGCATGAAAGAAGTGGCAACCTACCAAGACACAGCCAGATAGGACACCGCGAAGACTCGTCAACCCTGAATGCCATGAAAATGGGGAGGAGCAACACGGCCACTGTTTTGCTCTTCATGCTCTTTGTGATGGTCCCCGAGTTCAAGTTGCCCGAGGATGTCTTGAACATGCTTGTGGCGCTAGTTGCAACTGCCAACTGTCAACTGTTCCCTCTTTGGTTTCCCTTTAACTTGGGCCCCCAAAAAAGGGGTCGCCTCACCAAACGGCACGCCCAAAAACCCGCATAGGTCCACAGGTCCATAGCAAACACATCGCTGGCGGGGACCTGGGCGGGTCGCAGGTGGGCCTGGGGTACCTGGGCGTGGCCCTGCTGCGCCGGGCCCAGCAGCGGAAGAACCTGCTGCTGGCGGTGGACCGCCGGGCCGAGGTCGTGGTGTCGGCGCGGCACTTTGCGTGGCAGGCGATCGATGAGGGTTCCAGCAGCCGTCGGGGGGAGGGGGTGCCGGGAGTGGGGGGTGTCTCCATCTTTCGTCCGGGGGGGGGGGATGGAAGGGGCGAGAAAGCGGGCATTGGACGTTTCAAATGTGGTGGGGCTCTGATTTTGATGTGGCGTTGAAGTTGAGGTTAGTTCGGAAGCTGATGGCTGACC